GATATATTTTTTACAAGACCAATTTATTAATATTAAGGTAATTGGACAGTTAGATAACATCAGCAGCAACTCCTTAAATCCTATGCCATAAAATATTAATTTCATTTTTTTTATTTATTTATTGTTTATATCAGGCATAATCGCCCATAAGGATGTAACAAAAGTTAAATTAAATTACATTAATTAAAACTAATACAAAAAAATACACAAAAAAATCATACACCAATACCTTAAATTAATATCTCAGCAGATAAACACAGCGGAATACAACATATACTAATTGATTACTATGCACGTAATCGAGTCAGGAAAGATGTTTTGAGTCTTCTCAAGAGCCCGTAAAAATCAGTAACTTCGTTCTCAGCGAACATGCCAGTCGCACTACACCGCCAGGGCAGGTTTAACATAGCCCTCAAGGCATAGTACTTATCATAGTATAATTTATCTTCGTTAAATTAAAACAACGGTGTATACGTTTATTTATTTTTGTATTATATTTGTAAAGACATAATACAATCTAATTTATATTTTTAAAAGCTACACTGATGACATTATAATATTATTTATATTATCTTATTTAATTATGGTATATAATCTTAATTTCTGGCATCAGTCAGTCAGTCAGTATTTTAGGGTGTGTAGTCTACATATCACTGATTACTATTGAGGTCGAACAAATATTTAGTGTGCAAGAAGTTCTGAGCTTTGAAAAAAAAACAGAGCACAAAACTATGGGTATAGTTATGAAGCACTTTTAAGTATAATAATATTTAATTTGAACTAAATAGTTAGTTCGATGTATTAACCTAACTGAGCTCTCTCTAATAGGTCTATATTATCTTCAACATTATAGAACCTTACTTGTCATAATAGTGTAGTAGAGTATCTTACCTCCTCTGATCATGGAAATGTCTTACGGGTTAAAAACAAAATATATATACATTTACCTTTGAATTTCAAATCTTACCAAACAACTTAATACATAATTATAGAACGCGATAGTTTAAAAGTTAGGATTACAAACAGACTGGTTAACTTAGTTACTAATTCATTGTTTAGACTTCTTAAGAGCGAGTCCCACGAGAGTTCATCGACACTAACTCATCATCATCAGCCTATCGCAGTCCACTGCTGGACATAGGCCTCTCCCATTGCACGCCACTTAGATCGATTTTGGGCTTCTCGCATCCAGCTCCTGCCAGCCATCTTGCGCAAATCGTCACTCCACCTGGCCTGTGGGCGTCCTACACTACGTTTGCCGAGACGCGGTCTCCACTCAAGAACTCGTTTTCCCCAACGGTTATCGGTTCTGCGGCTAATATGGCCAGCCCACTGCCACTTCAGCTTGCTGATCCGGTACGCTATGTCGGTGACCTTAGTTCTCTGCCGGATCACCTCATTTCTGATGCGATCCCTTAGAGAAACGCCGAGCATAGCCCTTTCCATAGCACGTTGAGCGACTTTGAACTTGTGGACCAGCCGTACCGTAAGTGTCCACGTTTCAGCTCCGTATGTCATGACGGGTAGGACGCACTCATTAAAGACTTTCGTCTTAAGGCTCTGTGGGATCGACGATGAGAAGACTCGACGTAGCTTCCCAAACGCTGCCCAACCCAACCGAATTCTTCTGTTCACCTCGTCCTCGAAGTTGTTTCTACCTAACTGCAATGTCTGCCCGAGGTACACATAATTTTGAACAACTTCGAGAACGGCACCGTGTACCGCAATCGGTTCCGGTAGTACATGTTCGTTGAACATGACCTTGGTTTTATCCAAGTTCATCCGTAGGCCGATGCGTACAGAAGTGTCAGCTAAGTCATTCAGCATTTGCTGTAGGTCCTGCAACGTCTCTGCCATGATGACGATGTCATCTGCAAATCGCAAGTGAGAGATGTATTCGCCATTGATATTGATGCCACGCCCTTTCCAGTGCAGCGTCTTGAACATGTCCTCCATTGCATTTGTGAACAATTTCGGGGAAATAACGTCCCCTTGTCTCACTCCTCGATGCAATGGTACGGGCCTTGTTTGCTGATTCTGTACTTGGACGGACATGGTGGCGGCTTCGTAGAGACATCTCATCACTTGGATGTATCGCCAATCTACTTGGCAACGCTGCAGGGACTCCAGAACAGACCAGATCTCGATCGAGTCAAAGGCTTTCTCATAGTCCACGAATGCTAGACACAGGGGCTGATTATATTCTTCGGTCTTCTGTATAATCTGCCGCACTGTGTGGATGTGGTCTATGGTGCCATATCCGCTCCGAAACCCAGCTTGCTCCGGTGGTTGGAATTCGTCGAGTCTTTGCGCAAGACGGTTCGTGATGACTCTCGAAAACAGCTTGTAGACGTGGCTTAGAAGGGATATGGGTCGATAGTTCTTCAACCTGGTCTTGTCACCCTTTTTGAAGAACAAGACGACCACACTCCTACTCCACGCTTCTGGAGTTCTCCCTTCAAACAGGACAGCGTTGAAGAGCTTTTGGAGCTCCCTTAGTACGGGTTTACCCCCGGCCTTCAGCAGCTCTGTTGTAACGCCATCCTCTCCAGGGGCTTTTCCATTTTTCAGCTGTCCAAGAGCCATCTCGATTTCGTCAATGCTAACTTCTGGCAGGTCTTCGGTGTAGTGACGTGTTAATGTGGCTCTAGAGTCCTCATTTTCGGGATCAGGTCGAGATGCATGCGAAGCGTATAACCGGCCATAGAAGCTTTCCACTTCCAAAAGGACTGCCGGCTTCGAAGCAACGACTTCTCCACTTTCTGTAGTCAACTTTGTCAGGTGGCTTCTTCCAAGAGATTGTACGAACACTTTTGACCCCCGATTTTGCTCGATCGCTCTTTCAATTGAAAGAGTATTGGAGCACCGGAGGTCGTGTCGTACGAGTTTACTGATCTCTCGGTTTAGAGTCCGCTTTGCCGACAAAGTGACAGGTGGGTTTTCACGTCGTTTCTTCATCAGCCCTAGGGTCCTTTCTGAAAGCTTCGACTTCCTGCCCTTACGCTGCATTTCACAAAATCTCATACCTTCTTCCCTGAGGATCTGAACCACATTTTTGAGGTTCTGGTTTACGTCGATTGTGGTTTCCACGGCAGCGAATCGGTTTGCCAGTTTTGACTGGAACGTTTCAGATCCTGTCATGGCCTGGAGCCGAGTTGGTCGGAGCCTGGATTTCATCAAACAGACACGTTCCGCCTTAAAGTTGATATTCAGAGAGCCCCGGACAAGTCGGTGATCACTACCGGTATTAAACCTATTGATCACTGAGACGTCTCTGAATATGTGCTTTCTATCCGTCATGATGAAATCGATCTCATTTCTAGTCATAGCGTCGGGGCTTTGCCACGTCCACTTCCTTTGGGGCTGTTTCTTGAAGAAAGAATTCATCAAAAACAGCCCCTCCCGTTCGAGGAAGTTGACCAGCATTTGCCCCCTATGATTCCTGCTTCCAAATCCATGGGATCCTACTACCGATTCGCTGCAATTCTGTACTCCCACTTTAGCGTTGAAGTCACCCATAACAACGTTGTAGTGGGTCTTAGTTGTGAAGTGGAGGGCCCTCGATATGTCATCGTACATATCCTCCACCTCGTCGTCCGAATGTGCCGAGGTCGGTGCGTACACTTGCACAACCTTGAGGCTATACCTCTCGGTGAGCTTGATAATGAGGTACGCTACCCTGTTCGACACACTGGAAATTTCCACAACGTTGTCAGATAGGGACTTATTCACCAGAAACCCAACCCCACCTTGGGATTGTTGGTCTCCCTCGCGGAAGTACATTAGGTGGCCTGACTCGAGGGTTATGGTGTCCTCCCCCTCTCTTCGGACTTCACATAGCCCTAGGATATGCCACCTAATCTTCCCAAGTTCCACCTCAAGTTGCGCCAGATGCGAGTCTAGCCGTAGCGTGCGTCCGTTGTACGTAGCCAGGGTCAGTCGGTTGTGGTGGCCTCCCGTAGCCCGGAGATTCTTCGCACCCCCTGCCCCGCCTTTACCGTGGTCGCCACCATGACCAGGAATAGCGGGGCCTCCGGGAACTGGGGGCCGTGGCCTTTGTTGCGTCTGCATGAGAGGGGTTTGCCCATAATCGCCACGCTGGGCAGGCGGGTTGGCGATCGCAGGGCGTAGCTTGTCGCACCGGTAACGCTGCTGCCCGTCACCGGCCTGTTATATTTAGCTACGCCTATTGGGATGGATATACCGCCATCGGTCGGTCGCCAGAGCCTCGTTCGTCGTTCAGCAGGATGCACCGCGGGCAGGTGAGGTTGGCTTGGGGCGAAAGATGGTGGTTCGCCCCTCACACCCCACTAACTTTTTCTATTACTAACTTTATAATATTTAAACACTAGTTCGACACTAACTAGTGTTTAAATATTAAAAAGCATTAAATTTAAATGTAAATTTACATCTTTGTAACCACTACGTAAAGAAATCTTTATGATTATAAAAACTATGTGACATATTTTAAATCTTTGATTCGAATGTCAACCCTTCACATCATCATACTCCGAGTCTCTTTCCCAAACTAGATTTGGGTCGGCTTTTACCCTACTACGAAACGGCTGCCATTCAATTTTTACGTGGAGCGACTGGCATCAGACCTCCACATACTTAGTTTGTTCAAGATGGTATCAAAGATCTGTAAGCAGACCGTTGTCGGACTTTTTAGGGATCTAACTGCCCGTGACGATTGCCACGGATGCTCGTATAGCAACCAGGCCGACGGCTTAACGTGCTTTCCGAGACACGGAGGGGTTTCAAAGTACTAGGAATGATCACCCATCCATAGGCTGAGCTGGCTAAGATCATATAATTTTCAATGTGGTTACCACTTAGCCACGAGCCCTTCTTACAAATCTACGTGTCAAGACTTCATATGAAAATTGTAAAATAAAATTTAAATAAAACTGTCATTTTTATTACTGCAAGAGCTTAATACAAGTTACTTCAGAATATATATGATGAAATCGGAATAATATTTTCGGATTTCAGTTCTCATGTATTTGATACTGTGTTTCAGGTTGGCGGCAGCGCAGGAGGCGGCGGGCGCGCAGGCTCGCGCGGCGCCAGCTGATACCATGGGCGGCGCGCACCAGCCCGCTACTCCAGGGCCCAGCTCACTCTTTATATTTGCCAACGAAAATCCTATTCGGAGGTTAGTCCTATTAAGTATTACTTCAAAGGTACTATATTTTAAATATGGTATACTATATTTCTGAACGATAATAAAATTGTTAAACGTTTTTATATAAAACAAACATCAGTGTAATTGCTGCTACATATTTTTTTTGTAATAGATATAGTTATAGAGTGTAAAATACTCCAGGTAAAGCTTTTGCGAAATCTATGTTTGCTATATTATACTTACTTGTTTTTTAAATTTTCTTTTACAATATTTTTTAATATATTTACATTCCAAAAAAAACTGGTGGAAATCGTTAGCTGTTAACTCATTTATGTTTTCAATACAGCTACTTAAAATATAAATAAGCCAACATTAACATGAACCAACAAACTGAATGAGGAGATTAGACTTAATTTGTTCATGGACGGCGGTAATCGCTTTCCATCAGGTGACCTGTCTGCTGGTCTGACCCCTGTTACAAAAAAAACTTGTTTTGATAGTATTAATAGCTGCCGGTAACGTTTAACCACCAATTCGTCCATTTGCTAGTTTAACAAGTTAAAAAGAAGGTTATTCCTACTAACTAAAATTCAAATTAATATCATTCAATTAGAGTGAAAGTGACACAGATTCCTATGACTAAAATATAAGGTGAATTTGAAGCAGAAACCTCGTCCCCTGCCTCTATACTTAAAGTTCCCCCTTAATAATACAGAGATTAAGAAAACGGAGTGTCATCACCCCTATTAATCCCGTGGGTATCCGAGAGAGCCACGGGAGCAAACTACGCAGCCCAATAGCACTGCAAAGAGAAGGAAAACTTGACGCAAACCCTATACCAACCCGTCTGTCCAGCGTGGTATAGTAGGCCAAATCCTCCTTTCTAAGGAGTGGCCTATGTCCAGCAGTGGACTACTAAAGAATATTTTTGTGATGTAATGTGATAATTGATCAGTTTATAATCATATTGAAAATAAATTTGCCTTCCAATGTGCTACAAAATATCGTATAATTATGACCTCATTCTCTAAAACCAATTTCAAACATGAAAGTTCATAACTACTTTATATAGTCTGATATAAAGGATATCTTAACTTTATCGCAGTGACTAGCATGTTCATATTACGGCTTTTCTCGAAGCGCAACATCTGGCCTGGACTTAACATAGGGGTGGATCCTAACCCCGCTTATACATATTAAACGAACACCTTATTACCCCCCTTATGCATTTTGTAAACAAGCGAAGGTTCTTACACTACCTGTGTATTTACGTAATTTGATAACAAAAAGAGATTGTTTTGCGGAGCGGGACACCGTTTGAACTGTGGATGTGTTAGTGTGGGTATTTTTTATATATGTGCACATTCTTCAGGTTAATTTGAGAGACCTCTTTTTGAATTGTATATGTGTTAATTTTACTAAGCCACACAATCAAATTTATTTAATACACTCTTGAAAATAGAGGTAATATTTCTTTATTCCTAAAATCAAATAAAAACAACTTGTATTTTATGTGTGCTGTGTTTGGAAATTTAGAGATTTTTAACATAGTTAGGTATTTCGTGTTAAGATAGTTTAGTAGATAAACTCTTCATTATGCGAAGTATAAAAATATGTATGAACTAAATATTTAGTTAGTGACTTTTGTACAAACTGTATACAGATTTACTATAGTTTTAAAATCCACCTATTCAATCCTACAACATATCGTATGCTTTTTCTTGACTAGTCTTTTTTAAACCAATAGCTACAATAATAAAACAAAATGGTTGTTGTTATCTTGAAGTCTTACTAACCTTTGAACATATATTATATAATATTTCCATAGAATATTAAATACAAACACTATTAATTTGACTTCAGATTCATGTTTCTGTAATGACTGAAAAACAGCGTACTGGAAAGTTTTCTATAAGCTAACTACTTGTGGAATTATTACCACTATTATCAACAAAACTATCTTGGAATTCGCCTCTTTACATATTGTTGGCGTACAATTTGTCTATTCTGTTCTAAAAAAAAATGAATGTAAAATCGAAAATAAATGTGGGCACATAAGCTTTCATATTGTTTTAGGGTTAAGCTGATGTAATTGATGTAATAACCATCCAAGTCTTATGAAACTAAATTCTAGTGAAGTACAAGAACCTTATTCGATTATTTAAAAAAAAACAAGTCGTTTGAATTATTTCCGTGTCTCCACGAAATACATTCACTGTGTTCTTCCTTTAAATTATGTAAGTAGGGCAACTCGAAACAAAAACAGAGGCCAAAGCTTTAAATTGTAATAGATTTAATCTTAAATATTGCCAATAACAAAAGAACGGCAAGCATTTTCTTCCTCTAGCCTACTACGGAAATGTATTTATCGGAGATGATCATATCATCAATAAATAGCCTTTAATAGTCCACTGATGGACATTGGCCTCTCCTTAGGAAGGAGATTTTGGCCTACTATACCACGCTGGCCAGACGGGTTGGTATTGGGTTTGTTTCAAGTTTTGTTTCTCTCTTTAGTGTTGTTGTCCTGCATAGTTTGCTCATAATGGCTTATTAACTATTATCGCCTCATATTTAGTGCGTTCCTATTCTGTGCTATAAATAAATGTACGATCCTTCAATATACGTCAATATTTCAAACCTATAACAACAATAAAGATAAGAACTAACATCATTTTTTTAAGGGAAGGCTCAACAAAAAAGACTTTACAAAAGCCGTATTCAATTATAAATACCGCCAGCGCCTAGACATTATTAATTAACACGTATAAAACTCATTACAGAATCCCGGAGGATATCTGTGCCTCGGCGTCCATACCAGCTTCTTTATGCAATGTCAATTAAGCGTGTGGTACATGTAGAACTCACGGTACCGTGAGAAACGAACGTCCCTAAAGAACACGCTTTAAAAATAAACAAGTACTTTGACTTTGCCAACGCAATCACTAAAAATTGTTATTTCGTGGCGTGGTATGCCCTGGCAGAGGGTGCGAGGGTTATACCAGCTAAATCACTCTAAAACTACTTAAAGACCTTGGATTTCCAAGAGCTTCAGTAAGATATTTTCTTGAACGAATATCCAAAGCGGCATTGCTAGGTTCGTATCAAATATGGTAAGGTAGAGGGGGTAACGCAGCAGACATTGGAGTCGCGTCGCAAGAACTACTTCCTAAACCTACTCCTCGGTCGCAATTCCCAGGCGCTGCCAAAGTCGCATGTGCTGATCCCATCTATCACGCGATGAAAAAATAAGTCTTTAGAGTAAATAAATATTTTTATTCACAACGTCAGTTTGATCAATCACAAAAATCAAAATAAGAAACCAAACAAACTAAAATATTATAAACATAAATTTAGGTAGATACTTTTCTTCAAAATTCTAAAATAGAATTATGAGAATTTTGTTATAAATCCACAGAAAATTATACTGATTTACATAAAACTTATTTCTTATTTCTCACCTGTTAAACATTTATGGCGCCTACTACATTTTGTTATACATCCGTTCTCAATTAATATAAATACAACGAAAGAAACTTCAAATGGTACGGACAATTGTTGTGGGATAATTTTAACTGTGTCACCATGCTTTGAATGTTCATCCTCACAACACATAATTTAGTACTGGGCACAGTATTCATAACACTATACGTACAAATATGACTATCTAAAAATTAGAAGTATAAAATAAAAACATTGAACCGAAGGCTTGTCTCCGCCGTTCATGTAGAAAACCTTTTAAAGTTGTTCAACTTTTCACACCTTGAGAAACTTTCAATGCTGTACAAAGTGCGCTTAGCCGAAGATTGCTTGCAAAAAATCTACTGCACTATAAAATGTTCCACATTCCCTTAGAGAGTACTTACAATGTTGTTTTGCATAGTATCGACCATCTTAATACATGTATATACCGAATAGTACACACACGATGCTTCAAATATTAATAAAACGGGCTAAATCGTAGGTCGAAAAATTTCGATTTAACATTTCAGACACATCGCAAAGCGTATCTGTCAAATCTTTTTATGAAAAATATTTTAACTTTATTAAGTACAAATAGACACGTTATATTTTATTTAACGAATGTTGATGTCTCTAATATATTACGTAAAAGAATTATATATTTTATTCCTTATTCCAAAATAAGCTACTTTTTTACGATAAGACTTGGATCGTTTTTTCCTTATGTAAAGTGACAATCTTAAATGACGATATAAGCCAATTACATAATCCCAAAAAACCACATCTCTAGCTCTTGATGATAAGAAATTACTTAAATATATTATATACAACAACAACAACATAAATCGTTTAAAAAATAATATACGATTTGTTGTGAATCCTAGTTGAAGATAGTAGTAGTGTCCAGTGTTTACGTTATGCTTCAAGTGTTAAAACCTTGAACAAGTTATCTATATCTATAAAAGAAGAAACTGACAGACTAATTCACTGACTGATCGATCAACGCACAGCTGTAACCGTTGGCTGGCTACTATTGGTGTATATTTCACTGAATAATAAACTATACTACTATATCTTTTGTTAAAAATTGTATTTACTTTTCTGCCTTATTTTTTCGGCCCTTGTCGATTGGTTCCTGGAGAATTCAGACTCATTCTACCCATGGACCGACGCTGTCTATTTTTTCCGTAAAAAACTCCCTTTATAATAACTGAAAAATGCACTTTACCCTGTAAAAACTTCTAAGAGTAATTAATAAAAGCAGTTTCTTTGGAAAACCAATTTTGCGCTAACAATTTTAAGCCTGCATGTGCACTCCATTTAACAGTAACTACATTATCTTCTGATCGACATCACGACAAATGTGCATTAGAGCCTCCATTACCCTGTAACTTGTATATTATCTCACTATTACCAACTTATTATGAACGTTATTTACTTATATAATGGCCGGAAGTATACGGTACTGAATGTTATCCGCCGCTTCGCTCCCATAAAAACTGTTTGCCACTTTCAGCAACAAAAGGACAGCAGTTCTTTCTGAAGTACCCCTATTATATTACGAGTATTATATGGAAAAGTTTATGATGATCAGTAATGTTAAAAAGTGAAAGCGTAAATAATAAGCAAGTAAAATCTGAAGTTTGAATAACAACTTAATACCATATTAACTTAGAAGGCTAAGGTTTTCACTTAAAAACAGTTACCTAATTTGATATGTTATAAGTTAAAAGACACTTTAACATTGTCCACTTTTCGTTCAAATTTAATCCAAAGAATTAATTTGATATGTTATAAGTTAAAAGACACTTTAACATTGTCCACTTTTCGTTCAAATTTAATCCAAAGAATTAATTTAATTTACTCACAGTAGAGATAACATAAATGTACTTACAATGCAATCTGTATTCTCTTTCCAGGTATACAAAGTTCATCATCGAGTGGCCGCCCTTCGAGTACGCGGTGCTGCTTACCATCATCGCCAACTGCGTGGTGCTGGCGCTGGAGGAGCATTTGCCCAACGGCGATAAGACCATCTTAGCACAGAATCTGGTAAACATCACTTGCTTATATTTCTAATAACGTTATCTTCGTACCAAATATATTACTATATGTAGATTTATAGTTACATATATTACTCTACTTTTAAACAATTAAAAAACTACATCAAAAATGTGAAAGTAAGTTTATTTATCTGTCTTATACGAGGTCATCACTGACAGCTAAATAAATCCCAATGAATCTTCCCAAAATGTCTCAGTACTCATTCTGGAGCCTGAACTAAGATATGTATTTTAGTTTTTGGAATAATCTTCTAAAGAAATATTTAACATTTTACATACACCTTCTACGTAATTCTCTTTAACTTCAATTTTTTTCTAAAATAATGAGTATTTATATAATAATTAATAAATTAAACCTTGATATCTATATAATACACGATTATTTACACCTGTATCTTAAATATTTTCGATAAAAAAAGAATTATTAACCGAAGAACAACAATCAACACATCATTCTGCTACATAATCACTTATTTAATTATTTTTTATTATAAAACTATTTTTCTTCTTCTTCTATCATACCATAGTTACCGTGGGATATTATATACACATTATAGTTATTTAAGATCTACAACAACCTGTTTATAGATTTTCTATTTCATGCTTATTTTTTTGTCAAATATTCAAAACGTAATATGGCCTTTTGCAAAATAGTGTATTTTTTTGTTTTTTACTTATCCTTTAAGTCCTTCTAACTTTATTCTTAAAAATGACGTTACGGATAAATTTAGATAGCCTCTCCGTGACTATAGATGACTTACTGATATCTTGATTTCTAATAAGATTCTATTTAAACTAGTCCTCAATTAGTTTTTTATTTAAACATATCCTGCCATTTAAACATATCCTGGGTATATATCCTGTGTCACGGGGGACTTTAAAAACATACATGATACGGTGACAAAGAACACCCAGACTCAGAACAACAATTTGTAGATCATACAAAGTGTCGTCCCATGTGGGGTTTGAACCACTCGGCATAGTAGGAAGTGGCGTGGTGATCGCTTAAAGCACTACGCCATTCGTGCAGTCAAAGTCTTATAGTTTTTATTCATCGTCGGTAACTTCACCATTAAGTACCGTCAATCTTACCGCCCTCTCATAAACAATCTGTCTCTCTCTGCAGGCCTTATACGAGTAGCAAAAATCTCAATTGTATTGTCATGTATGTACATGTGCCATGTCAATTGTCATTGTCATTGAATGAATATGCTAAAATCTTGCAACCACGCACTTAAAAACAGTATTTTACGTTAATTAGCTTCTTATTTAAAATTAATTCGTACCCTTAGGAGCGGTGCAGTAACTATAAACACGAATATAATGGGGATCGGCTAGTACAGTATTCGAGTTCTCCTAATATCCAAACAAATACTTTTCTTAAAAACAAATTGCACGGTGAAAATACAGGTTTCTTTTTACTTTTTAGTCTTCTATAATAACACCAATAAGTTAATCAGACCCCGAAATCTATTGTGATAAGAGCTATTTTAATGTTGATTGTACTACTTTCCCTAATTTTCGAGAAAATGTCATGTTAGTTAGTTCTTTATCAATTATTCATCTTTAGAAGATTAGAGACTTATATATGTGGGCTAGGTGGGTTCTTACGTTCATTTTTAAGCTTTTTGTTGTGTCTTAAATATATTACGAACATTAATATTCCTTTAAATTGCCAGCTTTGTGAAAGCGACTTAAAAGTTTAATCTTGTGTTAGGTGATTATTTTGAGGAATATTTGCAACCGGTGCTTCAACTTCATGACACCTGAAGTCAAATAATTTGAATTAAATATAGTTAACGGTTGATCTAATTAGTTTTCAGACCTATTCACAGGGTCTGTCGGAAGCAATGGATAACCCGTTAATCTGAGGTAGTCCTAGTACTAGGCTTTAAGAAAATCATATTTTCATGTTAGGGTTGCCAACGGTGTGAAAATGGTGGTCACTTTTGTATTTTTTTAAGTTTTGCTAATTTGCTCATTCTTTTGGCACCAGTAATACATCAGGTTAATGGGTTATCCATTAATTACGACAGACCCTATGTAAATATAAATAATTATATTTTATCAATCTCTACTTATACTTAATGGCTGTTTAAAGGAGTATGTTATGAAATAGCAGTAAAATTAATGATATTGTCTTGGTATATTGGTTGTCCGAAAGAGCGGGTTGTGTTCTGTGGACTGCTATATTCTGTTGACAGTATGATGATGTATAAATTATTTATGGATCTATATGTATGTAGATGTATACTTATATATAATTTATATATTTATTTGTACCCGTAGCTTCAATACATCTAGACTACCCATTATTTTATCTCATCTACTGTCGATTTGTTCATCCAAAGGTTGCCTGTAGGAGATTGCTTTTAGCGATAAGGCCGCCCATTATACATATCCATCTAACATATTGTAATTGGTGTACAATAAAGAATATTCTATTTTATTCTATTCTGTGATGATATTGGTGTAAATCTTGATTTTTTATATCGCTGCCGTATGTATTTAAATTAATCTTTTTCTCATTATTCGGCAAGATATCAAGTTTTCATTTCTATCGCAAACTAGCCATTTGTATTAATTTAAATATAAAAAAGCCGTAGTCTCGATTAAACTTTACCAATTTTACAAATTTTTCTTTCAAAGTAAAAAACCTAATTCAGACTACAAGTCAAATCATTGAATTCGATTTATAGTAATGCGTTTAGCAATAAACTGCATTTTATTTATACATATTTATAACTATAATACGTGAGTACATATGTATATTTAATTCAGTACCTTCTTTTAATACAGTAAATAATGTTTTCTTTGTTCCAGGAAAAGACCGAGGCGTACTTTTTAGGAATATTTTGTGTAGAAGCCTCGTTAAAAATTCTAGCATTAGGTTTTGTTTTACACAGGGGATCGTATCTTAGAAACATTTGGAATATTATGGATTTTTTCGTTGTAGTAACTGGGTAAGTCATATTTATTAATTTTCAATCTTTATACAACTATTTATTAAGAATGTAGAATTAAAATTATGTAAAGAAATTTTGAAGTTTCGAATATTGTTCCTTGACGTTATGAAACTATCACAAATCAATTTTCTTTCATATTTTTAATTTCGGTGACGAACTAGCGTCCTTCTGTTTCTAAAATACATTTAAAACAAAATTATTATTGTATTTTGGAGGTTGCTACCGTAAGGTATTGCACCCGTTATTAGGCCACATTGGTTGAACTTCCAATACTTGGACTCTAGGTTACGTCAAACACAAGAAGGGTTGACTTTATTGAATATTCAATAACAAAAACTAGGTCGATGACGATATTCGCCGAATACAACGTGGACGTTGACCTGCGGATGCTGCGCTCGTTCAGAGTGCTCCGACCGCTCAAGCTCGTCTCGCGGATACCAAGTAATTCACAGTAATTGGCGAAAAGTTCACATAATACCTCTACCTTATTTGTTATAGAACGTTACTCGCTAGATGTTTTCGAATTTTGAATTTGGAACTTTTTAAACGTAGAACTGCAGCTAGTTATGACAAATATAGTTTTTAATATCATTAGTAAACAAATACGTAGCATCGTATTCTCAACATGTTTATTGATATACTTAACATAGATTAGAAAATGTGTGAATTTTGATTAATATGTGACTTATTGAAGATGTTTAATGTTTTAAAGCTACGTGTTGCATAATAGTAAAGATTTGCTATACATTTTGTGTATTGTGTAGGTTTATATCAAACATAAAACGCTAATACGTAAGAAACTAGTTAAAAATGGTTTTAGGTGTTAATAAATATGGTGTATTTAGATTAAAAAATAATAAAATTAACATGATTTATTAGCTGATAATTATAATAATTAAATAATTAGATACACGATATTTAGATTGTAGTAATTTTTTACATAAAATTATTAAGACTGTGCTTTAACATTAATACCTCCTTAGTTATTTATATATCTTTTTTTTTTTACTTTCACTTTGTTTTTGTTTTTTTTTTATTCAAGAAAAGATTTATAAAATTCTTTTGACTCTGTGCAATCTGAGCTATTTAATTAAAAGAAATTATACTTCAATTATAAGTTAATCTTAGTACTTCCAATTAATATGTTTTTTTTCTGTTTGTTAATTTATGTACACCGAAGCACAGTCTTTAGTAGCGTTTTATTATTCCGTTAGTTGCTAGTTCAGGCTATAGTATCGAGTGATATGTGTTTGGCAGTATCATCACGCAGCTGCCGATCGCGCCACACGACGTCGACTTCAGGACCTTGCGTGCCATTAGGGTGCTGAGGCCCCTTAAATTAGTATCGGGCGTTCCTAGTGAGTTCTAGAACATTCTTAGATTAGTTAATCGTGTTGTAGTTTCATTAGCATTACTGTTGCATAATTTCATTTTGTTTTTTTTTTGTCTATGAAAGATACAGTAATTTCATTGTAGAATCCATTTTTACTGGCCAGAAATAAATATACTAAATTTATATTATAACGACTGTAATCCAAATTATGCAACAGTATTTTCATATTATGCACGAAGTCTTATTGATTTTTAAAATTGTTTTTTCATTATTACTCGTGTAATATATTGTTTACAATAGTTATTGACTTCATCTTTGGACATATGGCATTAGTCAATAAATCTTTTACATTGTATTTTAAAAGTTTCTAAATATTCATCGATGAAAATGGCTAACGTCGAGATAAACCAACATAATTGGTAATTATAAATATTAATATTTGGAAATTTGATTAACAAAGATAATAACTTTTCAAAATACTATCAAAAGGTCATCTTTCTTTTGATTTTTTTATATTTGCCCTGTAATTTATAAACAATTTTGCTAAGTTTTAATTACGAATTTTCGTGTCATTTATTATTTTTTTAACTTGATATATTTATGTCAAAGAAAAAGTAGACTGTATGAGCCGCTGTCATTACCAAAAGTCACTTTAAAACTGAAGCATTGTTTAGAAAATACCTATGTAGTATTCATTGTTACCATAAATTCAAGATCCTTAGTAGCTCTCTTTACAGAAAATCTTAAACAGTTAAGCGGCTAACTAAGCTTTTAAATATCCAATCTGACTATTACATTATTGATTTGAAAACATGTAATTTTGAAGTATAGCTACCAATATAATCAATAATTTAAATTAAAACAAAAAAACTTTCTTAAGATTGTATTGATAAAGTTTACAAATTAGAGGGCAAGCAACAACTAACCTTTTTGCTATATACAATTAAACAAATTTGTCAGGTCTGCAAGTCGTATTGAAATCCATCATAAAGGCAATGGCGCCGCTGCTGCAGATTGGCCTCTTGGTGCTTTTCGCGATAGTCATCTTTGCCATCATTGGCCTCGAGTTCTACTCGGGGGCGCTGCATAAAACTTGTTATAATTTAGAAGATATTAGTAAGTATCTCTTAAAGTTTAGTTTCCCTTGTTCTGTGATTAATTCAAGAGTATTTAGCTATATTTAAAGGAGATTTTATCGTTGACGCGTTAAAAGGGTAATAGGATTGGGTTTTTCTTTATAATTTTTTAACCAGTATCCAAAAACGAAAGTTTTATAGTTTGCTTCTAACGTAATGAAAGGAGCACATAATACAAAAATGTATGAATTTAAAAGTTCTCTTTATTAACGTTGAAATTGCCGGATTTATCTGCCTTAGGTCTGAGTCCAAAATTTCATGACGTATTATATTTGACAGATGAAGTACTAAACGAAGGAGATAGTCCAACGCCGTGCAACGCAGACAACATAACCCTGGCGCCGTACGGCGCGAACGTGTGCGAGTATGAAAAGAGCACGTGTTTAGAAAAGTGGGAAGGGCCGAACAGGGGCATCACGTCATTCGATAACATCGGATTTGCTATGCTCACCGTCTTCCAGTGTATTACAATGGAGGGCTGGACTGCCATCCTCTATTGGGTAGGACCTAACATTTTCTAATCATACTTCTAAGTTACTGTAGTTTACATCTAATCCTGGCCTACTCAAGCTATAATCTTGCGTTCCCCAATCCATCCATATTAACAATGTCCCTCACCACATCTATCTCTTCTTATTCTAATTTCTTTTTTAAAATTCTCCCAAATTTTTCATCTTATCCTTGCCCCCTATTCCGTAAATATGACCTAATTATAGTTGGCAAAATATTAGCATTTAAGGCGCCTCATCAATATACATACATTGGTGATATGTATACAATACCAACATTTCTTTGAAAAAGTTCATTTTTATGACCTAACTTTGTAATTATCCCGATGGATGCATAAGTCGCGACTTAATTATGGTCATATTTATAAAGTAAACAATAATATATCTATTTATTTCAGACGAATGACGCACTAGGTAGTGCGTTCAACTGGGTTTACTTTGTGCCTCTCATAGTATTGGGTTCATTCTTCATGCTCAACTTAGTTCTCGGTGTCCTTAGCGGGTAAGTGACTACTTTTCATAGATTCTTTACCATTCTGTTGTTTACTTGTCCAATTCCTGCTTCATTTATTTATTTTGTGTAGAGAATTCTCTAATGAAAGAGGGCGCGTAGAAAGAAGAGCTCAATTCGTGAAGGAACGAGCTCGGCAAATGTTCAATGCAGATTTTAATGCTTACCTGAACTGGATCACTGAAGCAGGTCTTATAATCGTTACAGGACTGTCTTAAGTTGAGCTAGTAAAAGTAGTAATAGTAGTTAGTTTAAAAATATATTTGAGCTATGTGTGTTAAATTGGGTTTGACGAAAGTGTTAAACATTAATATTCAGCGTTCTATCAATTAAAAAATCTATAAAAAAATTGTCATAGCATAATGCTAACTCACATTGTAGGACTATCATTGTAAGCATTATTATGGTATGCAAGTCTAAAAGTCTTGTCATTGAAACTCGTCTTAAAGCGACTTTTGCCTCAATATTTATAAGGTTTAATGCACTTCGTTCGTTTTAATAAGTGTTAAGAGATTCTTATAATTTATTCTCTTTCAAGTCTTTGCCCAAAACTGTATCATACATACTTTAAATTTAACACATGTAAACAGAAAATAAGTAGGAGGATATGGTCTTAGTAGGGTTCTGAACTAAAATTGGGATTCTAATACGCTTACTTCATTTTCATTACTTAGTTTCTTGCCTCAATTATACTATTATCGTAAAACAAATATATTTATAATTCAATTATATATTGTACAACAAATAAAAAGAATGATTATATAAATTAAAAAAAAAAATATTATAGTATATACAGGTTTTAGTCTCGTGTGTACTTAGAAAATGCATAGTAACATTCTGTCCCACGTATACAGCGCACGTTGTGTTGCCCCATGCTCTGAAAGCTAGTATCTTAAATGTAAAAGTTTACAGCTATGTTGTACCATTAACATTAAATGGTTGCTAGATTAGTCTACCACATTTCATTGTATTTGCAGTGAATTCGCTAAAGAAAGAGAGAAAGTAGAAAATAGACAAGAATTTCTTAAGTTAAGAAGACAAGCGCAACTAGAAAAAGAACTCAATGGTTACGTTGAGTGGATATGTAAAGCTGGTAAGTACTTTGACGTTAAGCTGATGAAGAATTGTATAACAGAGATGTTGATAATGTTCTTCTATTTACAGAGGAAGTAATATTAGCAGAAGAAAGAACAACAGAAGAAGTAAAAACGCACATCATTGAAGGTTAGTCTTTGCAAAGACCGAGATAAATACTATGACAGACGTTTTAATCTGATAAAGTTTTAATTTTAATGTTCATTATTCGTTACTTAGTCTTATACACTATTACAGTAACCATTTTATATTTATAGCACGAAGAAGAGCCGCGTCCAAGAAGAAGTTAAAAAACCTTGGTAAAAGTAAAAGTACAGATACAGAAGAGGAAGAACAAGACGAAGATTGCGGAGATGACGGTCAGTTAATTGAGCTACTGCATGAATATGGTTTTATTTTAAGTGCGTGTTGTTTTATAAAATCAATAAGAAGATTACCTATATCAATATCACTGTATTTTGTTTTCATTCCTTGAGCGGGAATATATTTTAGTAGCATGTATTTTGATTGGTTTCTTTGTCAATATTATTTTCTATAATTTTATTACTACTATTATGTACAGGTGGTTAAGTATTTATAAAGTTTAAAGTATGTTAGTCACATTCTTGTTCATCTTATTGCTATTAAAAATCATATGTGTCGACTGTAAATTCGTGAATGTTGCATGTAATTAACCGAGTCTCTATACATCTTCATTCATTACCATTGCGTAATTCGTACTCTATTTGTGTGTTGGTTGTTTACAGTTCCAAAGAAAAAGCAAGGTATGGGATCAAACGTGATGCTGGTAGAATATTCCTTTTCATCTTCTATAGTAGTCTAAATAGACTAGATATAGTTTTAGGAATAGATATCCCTTTAACTGATCCTCTCCAGAAGACGTCTGTACGGGTATTAAAGTATACCTTTTGAAAAAAAAGTCCGAATTAGACTAAATCAAACTTACTCGTATTATCTTTAAAAAAGATCTAACGACAGTAAAATTATTTCACTCCTAGTTTTGAACTTTGTTAAAGCCATGCTGACGTCTCTAAATTTCTATATCCTTGCTTATGTCAATATAAAGGGCCGCAGCTGTCTTTTTACAAAATCCTAAAGCTTTAGCGTAAAAAGCTTCACACAAAAGGTTACCATAAACGTGACTTTAAGCTATTTATCTGGGTAAATATTGACGTCTCTCCCAGAAGTAAGTTGTTAGTGATTTGTACGAACGAAATATCGGATTACGACTCCGACTTCAGTTTGGATACTGTTTTCGTACCACCTAATCACAGTGTTATAAAAGTAAACGATCTATTGCAATATTAATATTCCCATATATCGGTATTAGTGTCGCATTTACGATGACACACTATCTGATCGCTAACTATACTCGTATACGCGTATACGCTAGAATTCATAAAGAATTAGTTGGATGTGAAGCCCCATTCCTTTAGTGGTCGAAATGCCGTTGATCATGCAGTAGAAGTTAGACCCTCTAAATTCACATTGCCGTATATGTTCTAATAATACTGAACCGATAAATAAGTACTTCTAATTTAGAGTGTCAATAACTAATAATGCAAGTTCAACGGTGTCATAAACGTTTTTACTAATATTACATTTATCACTACAGGTTTTTTAAAAAGTAAGTCGCGTTCGGTCGGCAAGTGTGCAGACTTCTGGAGAGCCGAGAAGAGGTTACGTTTCTGGATCAGGCACACGGTGAAGACTCAGTGGTTCTACTGGTTCGTTATTGTATTGGTGCTCTTCAACACTATTTGCGTTGCCGTAGAACATTACCATCAACCACCATGGTTGACTTCTTTTTTATGTAAGTATTCTAATGATTGATTTTATATATTTAGTAATATCTAAAGTTTAATACCGTAAAAATATAGCAATAAAATTATCTTAGGATCCAAAGTCTTCTCATAAATTTTGCATTAAAAACTCTTGCTGTTTTTTTTATTAATTTTATATTATTCGAACTAATACTGTTAATTTTAAACATGTCACACAACTTCTTTTGTTTTTACAGACTATGCAGAATTTGTATTCTTGGGATTATTTATGATGGAAATGTGGGTGAAAATGTACGCGTTAGGGCCAAGAATCTACTTCGAATCTTCATTCAACCGCTTCGACTGTGTCGTCATTTCTGGCTCCATTTTTGAAGTCGTTTGGTCTGAGGTTAAAGGTGGCTCCTTTGGTCTATCTGTCCTGAGAGCTCTAAGACTGCTACGGATATTCAAGGTAATATACAATACAAATTAATAATATAAACCATTAAACCGTTATTTTGTTAGATATTATTAGTTTGTAATTTGCTCATTTAAATTAGAATCGAATTATTTTCTGAAACGAAGTATTTTTACTCGTACTTACGATGGTTTCTTCTTAAGGAGTAGAATAAAAGATGTTTCTAATATTATTTCCAGGTTACAAAATATTGGGCATCGCTTCGGAACCTGGTGATATCCCTTCTAAACTCAATGAGATCTATTATCTCACTTCTGTTTCTTCTCTTCCTGTTTATTCTAATCTTTGCACTGCTCGGTATGCAACTCTTTGGAGGACAGTTCAACTTCGAGGAAGGCACCCCGCCCACCAATTTCAATACCTTTCCGATTGCATTGCTAACTGTCTTCCAGGTAACTATAACTATATATTATGTCTTGTATTTTTTTTAAGCAGAACGAAATGTCCATCAATCTTTTTTGGTGACGGGGTTAAACAAAAGAAAACTCGTAAATGTTGTTCGTAATCGTACTCGTTATTACACTTAAACTAAATTTTTCATTTTAGATCCTAACAGGTGAAGATTGGAACGAAGTGATGTATGCCGGTATTCAATCTCAGGGGGGCATCCAAAAGGGCATGATCTACTCGCTCTACTTTGTCATCCTTGTGTTATTCGGAAACTACACACTGCTGAATGTGTTTCTTGCCATCGCTGTTGACAATTTAGCTAACGCCCAGGTACTTGACGCCTCAGTTTTTGAGGATTGCATTACTTGATCTTATCCTAATATAAATTCGAGTCCATCTTGATTTTAATTTAATCTAATTGCTTATCACTCTAATTCCGAGTTAAGATCAAATAATGCAAAACGGCTCTTTATTTCTGTGAATGTAAACAGACGGGAGCTACCGTCAATTGATGTGTGTATAACGCCATCGCCCTTTGTAAATTTAACGCCGCTTTCGGTGTAAATGTTGCATTTTTGTATTCACAGGAACTGACAGCAGCTGAAGAGGAACAAGTCGAAGAAGATAAAGAAAAACAGCACCAAGTAAGTCATAAAGCTTTTAATCGTTAATTCTTCTACTAGAATTCATCCTCTAATGCTTCGGAATTTAGTTAATAGTTCACAGTTTCAATGTCATAGCATGTTCAACCACTCTTCCACTAACATTTACTTGCGAGCGGTTGTAAGGATCGGACATTTGATTATTGATTGCGTTCAAAATTTGTATTTTAAACATTGTTCCGGAAAATTAGGAAATGGAGAAAGAAATGGAAGCATTACACGCGGTGGACGGGTCTCCACCGCGGGTAGACTTAAAACCCTCTTCGCCATCGAGTAGGAAGGTAAAACGAGCTCGGCATTGGCAAAGCTACGCTTGAAAATGTATTAGTATCATCGACTTATAGTATTGTTGACATTGTTATTTATTAATTTTATAATTGTCTCACAATTTTAATCTAAAATGTTATATGGCAAGCCTTATTAATTTATCTTGTGGTACTATCAGTATCAACAATATTATAAGTTTGCTATAGATGGGTCGATGTGGCTTCTGTGGGCAAATGTCATAATAGGTGTATTTTTTATAAAATATTTGACTTGTTTCTAGATGGCTAATGGTCTTAGCAAAATTTTTACGTTAAATTCAACTAGGTGGCTACTTGGTTCATCAAAAAATCCATACTTTGTGTTTAGTTTTTTTAAATCACTTCATTCTTATTACATAGTTTATTAAACTCATATCTTTCTGTGTGCAACATAGTGTGTCTTCTTCCAGTATAAAATAAGCATGCTCGTAATAAAACACTTTAATTGGCTTATTTATTTTACTTTCATCCTAATTTTATTCTAAACAAATTAGAATCTAGAAGCTATCAATTTTATATATAAACAGTCAACTAAACTAACTCATAACGTTATTTTCATATTAAAAACATTAATATCACGTCAAAAGAAATTCTATAATTAGCTAGAGTTTGAAGTTTGATATTACGCTAGGATTTAGTCTCTGTAGACAAAAGAGTATTTATCTGTTTAAAAAGCTTTTTACTTTAAGTAAATTTTAAATTAATTACAGAAAAAGAAAGAAGATGCCAAAAAAGAAGATGAAGAAGAGATACCTGATGGACCAAAACCAATGCTGCCATATTCGTCCATGTTTATTTTGTCACCTACTAATCCGTAAGTTGACTAAGTTACTTTTAATCAAAGCAGTAGACATAAATGTAACTTTTACTGGTTTTACTAATATACTTTTAACATTTTGTATTCCAGAATTAGGCGAGGCGCACACTGGGTTGTAAATTTAAGATATTTTGATTTTTTTATCATGGTGGTTATATGTATGAGTTCTGCGGCATTAGCGGCCGAAGACCCTGTAGTCGAGAAGAGTGACAGGTTGGCATTCAATAATTTTCAAATATTATGTTGTTTATATTTATAATACAAGTCTTATAAATGTACTTTTTAAAACAGTTGGTAATGATATGAACTGATGATAGATTGACTGCACGAATGTTGTAGTGGTTTAAGCGGTCAGTTATGGATTCGATCCTCACATTGGACAACACTTTGTGTGCTCCACAAATTGTTGTTCCGAGTCTGGGTGTTCTGTGTGTCCATTTTATGAATGTTTGCAAATCCCTCGCGGCACAGCATGTAGGTATTCCTATAGCGAGCTATACGAAGATTTCAACTAAAAGTACATTATGATGATAAAAATTCGATTGAACTTATTTTTTGGTATAATTAATGCCAGTATTTTTATAGGAATAAAATCCTGAACTATTTCGACTACGCGTTCACGGGCGTGTTCACCGTAGAGATGTTGTTGAAGATAGTAGATCTGGGTATCCTGTTCCACCCGGGTGCGTACCTCCGCGACCTGTGGAACATCATGGATGCTGCAGTCGTTATTTGCGCCCTCGTCAGCTTCGGATTCGAAATCGGGTACAACTACTTAAATCAATTTTGTTCTCTTATAATGTAGAAGTTAGACTTTAAACTGGTGTTAAATAAAATTATTTCTTTTTTTACAGAGGCGTAAATAGAGGGGCGGGACAGAATTTGTCCACAATAAAATCGTTAAGAGTGTTACGAGTGCTTAGACCATTAAAAACTATAAAACGAGTTCCAAAGTTAAAAGCAGTGTTTGACTGTGTTGTGAACTCTTTGAAAAACGTCATTAACATTCTCATTGTGTACATATTGTTTCAATTCATATTCGCCGTAATAGCGGTTCAACTTTTTAATGGTAAATTTTTTTACTGCAACGATATCAGTAAGAATACTTATGAAGACTGCCAGTGAGTATTTCTTTGTTAATTACATACTATAATAATATTATTGTTATTATTGTAAGAATACTTATTTGTTTATATAAATATTTGATTACATTTTTCTTTGATTTTTTAAGCAGCATATATGTATTAATCAATTTGCGGTTGAACTTTCTATCATTGACTTTAGTTTGTTTTTAATCTATACAAAAACAGACCTTTGTCTGTTTGAATACAGAAAGACAAATGTAATGCACAGTTGTAATATCTGTATAATTATTATTGCCATACAAAGTTAGTTTTCAGATGTAAGTATATTTTAAATGCTTTAGGTTTTATACCAATATAATTATAGTCATACAGTAGATCCCATAAATAGCGAAAAAACAAATATTTTTAGGAAAATAGTTGTATATTAAAGTAGAAATTTCATCTTGAAACCGATAATTTAAAATTTAAAAAAGGTCGGTAAAGTCGATAGGTGAAAGGCGTATAGAAGTTCGAGTAATAAATAAGGTCTTAACCTATAAAATATTTTCATAAATTTTACTAATCTATATTTACACATTAATACTATATATATATACAGAAATATATACTTAAGTATATGCATACGCTAATTTTCAACTATGAGAGACAAATAATAATAATAAATAGTTTGGACATATTTTTCATATCTTGAAGAATTTAATATTGTCAGCTTTACATAATACTCCTAAAATTTGATATCTTTTACTAATACTAATTTTTATTGTTGTACAGAGGGATGTATTTCGAGTACGAGCCGCACAGCCTACTGCCGCGTGTCGTTCATCGCACGTGGACGACGCAATCCTTCCATTACGATAACGTCGCTGTAGCCATGCTCACGCTGTTTGCAGTACAGACCGGAGAGGGGTGGCCACAGTAAGTTCTAAATTATTTTCTCATCCACAATTATCTTTAAATCACAGTCTAAGAGAATTTTGAAGATAGGTCTACAGTAATAATAATTTTCAACAATTTGCTAGTCAATGTCATCAAGAGAAGTTCCATAATCCAGACCTTATTTTCTGTAGCTATTTTGTGTTAATCGTTAATTACAGGTTTAATAAAAATGCTTTTAACATTATTCAAAGAAAGAATTTCGAAAAAGTAAAATTTACTTATTTATTATTAGTTAGGGGGTTTTCTGACAATCCTATTCAGCCAGCAGCATTTATGTTAATGGTCCTTTTATTCGATCTAATTGTTTGTATTTGTTTGCAGAGTATTACAAAATTCAATGGCCGCCACTTACGAAGACAGGGGACCCATACAAAATTTTCGAATAGAAATGTCCATATTTTATATAGTTTACTTCGTGGTGTTTCCTTTCTTCTTTGTTAATATATTCGTAGCTCTGATAATTATCACATTTCAAGAACAGGGTGAAGCTGAACTGCAGGATGGTGAAATTGATAAAAATCAGGTGAATACATTCAGAGAAAAGAACAATTAAAACTGCCAGTATTTACAAACTGTATAATAGATCACTAGATGATATATGAATGTTACAATTTATTTTCAGTTTAAAAATAAAGTAATTAGGATACCGTTTCTAGTTACATTAACACAATATAAAATATATATTCTTTTACCAGAAATATTGCCAATAAAAGAAAGGGAAAAATCAAAATCTTACAGTCAGGTCAAGGTCAGTTCATTAGATCTTAATCGCGTATGTACACTTACAGAAATCATGTATAGACTTCACGATAGAAGCACGACCTTTAGAGAGGTACATGCCAAGCAGAAGGACGAGTCTTAAGTATAGAGTGTGGAAATTAGTGGTTTCCTCGCCGTTCGAGTATTTCATCATGACACTGATCGTCCTCAACACATTGTTACTCATGATGAAGGTATGTATCATTAACGCTTCTGTGTGTTATAGAATAACTAATTTTAATTTCTTATGTGTAATCTGAACTGTTTTAAATTAAATATGTTTATACAGAATACAATAATACAGACAAATTAAAAGTGATCATACAAATAACATAAGCAAATGTAGCACTATAAATGTGGAGAGTAGAAAGTGATCACTTATTTGAGGTAGTTGCTGAACAGGCTAGTCTGTCACGCAAGGCACTGAACCGTGACGATCTAGTTTAGCAAGAAGTCCTTCAAATCACTGAAGCCTGCACTAACCTTACTAGAGAGTTTCTGTAAACGTTCTCGTCTGGGAGAAATTGTAACTTGCTGTATGTGCGTCTTATATTTGTTAGCACCTAATAGATCCTATTATGTATTTTTAGTCGAACTGATAGTTAGTGCTGAATTGTCACAGTTCTGAATATAAATAAAAAACAGTCAACGTCATGATATACACAACATAAGAGGCACAAAATTAGTATTGCCTTAGGTTTTACCAAAGTCACAACACACACATACACACTCATATAAACGTGTTGAAGATACCACTATACTTTAATCGGTGTCAGTCTACACTGCATCGGAATGCGCCGTATTTGATATTACCAAGCCAAACCTGTCAAGTATACCGCCAATACATAATTTTATTTTCTTAATTCCTGTATTTCGTTGAGTAATCCTCCGTTACTCCTCGCTTGCTACTCATTAAATATGTATGTATCGGTGTTTACTGCACGGTATTCCTCTCCTTCCAGCACATTTATGGCACAGTTACACCAAACATTTTATTCGTTTATTCGTGCTTGTGAATGCACAACAATCTCTGGGAACGAATAGGAACGTGGCATGGGCCATATATGTTGTTCGTGTTGCATGACCTTATTTAAGACCTATTCCTATTTGTCTTTATGTGGATATTGTGCATGCTTGGTGGAATGGCCATTGCCAGGCGTGATCTGTTGGTGGCTATGGGCTGCTTCGTATATTTATTGGAAATTTGACAACATTTACTACTTTCTAAATGAACTAAATTTAAAGCGATTTTTTTACCTGGTATTAATCCTGATACCACATATTACTATTCATAGTTTCTATTTGACATTATTACATATATTTTTGTGTTTTTTTTTTGTTAAGTTCCGTCTAAATAGGTCTGTATATTTATTAGGCATCTTAAATATTACAAAAAATTACTCGACTTCATTGTGACCCTGTCTAATTTTAAGTTACCCTAACATACTTCATATGAACTGGCACAAATCCTCTCCAATCTTGTCACCAATTCCTATTATTATTATCCTTATGACAAACATTATGTACCGCTGTTAGTCGTTACATGAACCGTAACTTATCTAACAACTAAACTAACATTGATTCTATACAAATTTCCATTTGTACATCACATAATACTTATCCTTTTTGCGAATGGGTTTATAAAGTAACAATTATGTATTTTCATTGCCATGGTTTTATCCATAACGCCCGGCACTTCACTACAAATGGCAGTACTATAATCAAAATGACATCTACGCGGATGTCCTCAAGTATTCGAATATGGGGTTTACTGGAATGTTTTCTGTGGAAACGGTGTTGAAAATCATCGCTTACGGTGTCAAAGTAAGTACACAAACACAAAGTATCGATCGCCACATAGTACTATTCAAAACAAAATATGAGTAAAATGTGATACAGGTACAAATGTACTCTTTCTGTTATTAACGTGATTGTTTTATCTATTTACATGACTGTATGGGATTATTTCCAGCCAAGTTGTTATTATTCCCTCCCCAAGTATCCAGAACTAGTTTCTCTCTGACGTCGATGACGATTATAAAGGTTTATTTGCAAATGTTGTAAAGCATGGCTTTTTTCTTGCTGCATGTGGCACTTGTATGTGATTACACGCGTTAACAGTGTTGGTTATCTACGAATCGCCTTACCAAATACTGCTGATTGCTAACGGTAAGTTGCTATTGTATTTTAAAATCTGGTGGAGCTCAGCAGTTATAAAGGTAAATAAAATTTGTGTATATTTTAGGTACATCTATATTGTCCATCATGACACCTAAAAGCATGTTTGTACATTCAAAACAGCATGCCGCACGTGCACTTTGTGCCACAAGCCTCGTAACATTAAAATACATAATACTTATTGATAAATACCTACATAATACACGACTAACACATTCACATAACATGAAAATAATATCGGCTAGATTAATTAAGATTTATTCATTTAAAGTTAAATGCTGGAGCCACTACTTTGTTGTTCAAAAAATCTATATCAATTAAAAATTATGATGATCTCGCATTTAGCTTTTATAGATTTGTTAATGTTTTGAGTTAAGATTTAAACAATTGGTATTGATTTTGTGGTAGTTTCACGAGGCTCCACTGGCACTCATGGATATGTTAACAGTCATGAACATCGTCTTTACGATGTTCTTCCTACTCGAGACAATATTGAAGCTGATCGCCTTCGGGTGTACGGTAAGAATTTGATTCAATTTGAAATAATTTCAAACAAAATCTTTTTTATTTCTATAATTAGATTTACTATTAAAAGATAGTTTAATAGAATGCAAGAAGCCATGGGTACGTAATTGAGAATACTTCTAACATAAGATTAAGCAATCATCTCAAGTAAATCAACAAAAAAAAAATTAATTATCAGCTACCATTCTGTGATGCAAAATATTTGTAACAATTGTATAACTGTTTCGATGGCTAACTCATTGTTTGCGCCTTACACTTCACACTAATCATTATTCTTATAAATATATTAGATTAGCTATTAATATTCAATATTGACTTGAATATATCTCAATTTAGAACTCATTTTATAGAAAGTTTATCAGATTTCGCTTTTTGCATAAGACTTGACTAAGTTTTAATAGCATAAACTTTTATTAGATTTATAAATTGTATTTGCCTAGATATTGATTGAAATAAATAAAGAGAGATGTCCTTAACCCTTTCCCATAGTCCTATGATCAAGATTCAAATCATATTTCGATAGAAAGCGTACATTTGTATACAGTTTTTCTAATAAATTTTCAATACCTTCGTTTCTAGAACTAAATCTAATACCTCGACCTGTTTCCAGAATTTTTTCAAAGATCCTTGGAATACATTCGATTTCATCACGGTCATTGGAAGCATCATTGACGCCCTTATTATGGAGTTTGGCGTAAGTATTTTCTTTTTTTTTTTACCTGGTTAAACATATCTCAGCTTTTCTACAAATATTTATTTTATACTAACACCTTTCCTATAATTTCACCTTTGCCTATGATCTAACATCTTTTCTGTTGGTAATTTCTACTTTGATTTTGATGGAAGTGAAGATAAAGGACATATCCTGATTACAGACCGACCTTGCCGAAAACTGTGCTGACATATCCTGTCAGCAGGTAATAAATTAACTATTTAATTGCTAGGAATCTTAGTTTTTTGTAACAGATTTGTCTATGGTTTAGAACGAGTGTGTGTTTTAATATATTGGACAGTGGTCCGAAATTAGTAGTGCTAGAAAATATTTTTAGATAATTAGGATGTTTAGTACGTTTGTAGTTTAAAAGTAGGTGGTTTGCTAGGGATCAATTGCTTTACAGGTTTTTAAAGAATATTAAGACAACTTGAATGAATTGATGTGTTACTTTATCATAAGTTCCTAGATCCTTTAAAAGTATTCGTAAATATTGCTAGATTAAAAGTATATCATAATTGAGAAACAGTATTGAATATTATTTGAAGAAGGTAGCTAATTCAATAATCTTCATTTATTGTTTAATATTATTTCTACTAGGTATTTTCTTTTAATAATTACATTATCTAGAATAAACATTTCATATTTAACTTAAGAACTAGTTTTAATATTGTTGTTAGTTTTCCTTTTAAATAAGTTAGTTACATTCTCCATGTACGAGTATGCTTGCCATAACATCAGCTTAATACATATTAACAAACATGTTTACAAAAAGTTTGATAATTCAATGTGATTTATTTGGTTGAAGAAATTTAAAGGATAAATCATTGCCCTGGTTATAAGTTGGAAATAAACGTGTATGTATTTCTCAGGAAAACACATTCAACGTCGGTTTCCTCCGCCTGTTTCGAGCCGCGCGACTGATCAAGCTGCTGCGACAGGGCTATACTATTCGGATACTGCTCTGGACATTTGTGCAGAGTTTCAAAGCCTTACCCTACGTGTGCCTTCTCATCGCGATGCTCTTCTTCATCTATGCCATCATCGGGATGCAGGTCTGTTTGAATTCCCCTTAGATGTAATGTCTTATATTTAAATATTAAATTGGATATTAATTCCAATAAGAATATGCCAAACAAATTGTTAGGATCTTATGGGGGTATTTTTTACATTATAAAACTAGTACCTACTCTTGTAGATTGAGACATTTACAACTGTATATTTACTAATTGTTGACTTGTGCGATATTTAGATATAGATTTCTAACAAAATTACTACTAGTTACGTTACTTAGTATATGGTTATTTGCTATAGAAGGGGTAAAATTGAAATAGACTTAAATTTTGACAACATTAGTGTATTGGCTAGGATGTAGTTAGTAGATCGAAATATTGTCACTTAAAATATTCCGATCTCTTGTAAGGTATTGCGTTATTCCAATTGTGCAAGACTTGCTTCATTGTTGGGGTTATTAAGAGTAAATGTAACTAGTACTTCTATAAGTATTTGTATATTATTTAATAGGATCCAAGTAACTAACAAACATTTTAATAATTTTAGATCCTCCCGTATATTTAGATTTTTGCCATTGTTCATAATCTGCTCCAAAATATTAAGTAGTGTTGTAGACATTATGTTTAATTAAAATATATAATAGCCAATTAATTATTCGATTCATCATAGTTCTATGTAGTCCTTAAACATTCACATTTCTAAGTAGTGAGTACATTTAACATCGGATTAAGACCTAAAAACGGTATTGATAAGTTTCCAATGACAGGTTTTTGGAAACATACAATATGATCCAGCTGATGCCATCAACAGGCATAACAACTTCCAATCTTTCGTGGCGGCACTCTTGCTACTATTTCGGTGAGAGTACAAAAAGAGAGTAGTTGTTCTAATTCTTGTGGCCACTGCCCGAAATCTGTCTATACTAATCTTTGTTACATATATGTACTTACTATCATTCTCATTGGCAATATGACTAACACCATCAATATGTATATTCATGAACCAAAAGTAGATTTAGACTAACCTTAGAGGTAACAATAATCCTAATTGGTGTCCTTAACTTTGAGATTGCTTATGTTTGTTATACTTAGATAGAGTTTGGTGCGTTTGTTTTTATGATCGTGGTTATGGTAACTAGTACTAGATATAGAACCGTCTACGGTAGAATATTTATTTTTATGGGGTAAAGCATAGGGTTACGCGTTATAAGTTGCATACAAACCTGACTTTCTATGTTGTATCTGCTTGGACACAGGTGTTTGGCAATATAGCATTAATAGCAGAGTCTGACATGAATAGACACAACAATTTTCGAAGCTTCATTCAAGCACTCATGCTACTCTTCAGGTAAGGAACATTGAATGCAATTTAGTCCGGCCTGAGAACATACTGTAAACAAACGTAAAATAAGAAAACACACATATTAAAGATCATATAGAACACTCCGAAAAACTCTAAAACAATTAGTTTAAATTAAAAAACCAGTAGTAAAATCGCTTTTCAGTGGAGTCGCGTGGGATTATATAGAATAACTTCATCAGTGAGTCATAAGCACGTCTCATGCATGCACTTAAGAACGTCAAAAATTATCATTTGTCTTAACACTGGTAGTTGTGACACCGTGTAGATCAGTCTGCTCTGAATTGAATGCTCATATTTCCCTCAATTGATTTTAAAAATTAAACAGAACTAACGCAATCAATATTCATGTTCAATTTTCATTTTCAAACTAACATTTCTTAGCTTACAATAAATTTAAATTTTCCTATTATATTTTGAACGTGACATGGTCGCTGTGAGCCACTGTATGTTTAGATGCGCTACGGGAGAGTCTTGGCCCAACATCATGTTGGCTTGTCGAAAACCTGCAAAGTGCGACGTGGAAGCAGGCAAGGCCCCTGATGAACATTGTGGAAGTACACTCGCCTACGCTTACTTCGTATCTTTTATATTCTTCTGTTCATTTCTGGTGAGTATTTTAATTTCATTTTTTTTTCTTTTATCTAAATTTACCTATTACTTACGGAGTAACTATGTTTTAACTTTTAGATGTTAAATTTGTTTGTTGCCGTTATTATGGATAATTTTGACTACCTAACGAGGGACTCGTCCATCCTCGGAGCACATCATCTTGATGAGTTTGTTAGAATATGGGCGGAATACGACCCAAACGCCACGTAAGAACCAAAGTTGTCAAATATATCTGCAATTATTCAAAATCTCATGTTTTAATGTTAAATATAAAATGGAATATTTTCAGGGGGAAGATCCATTATACAGAAATGTATGACATGTTGAAGAACATGGATCCGCCTCTGGGGTTTGGTAATAAATGTCCCAATAGACTAGCGTATAAGAAGCTTATTAGAATGAATATGCCGCTAGACGAGGAGGGGAAAGTTAATTTTACGACAACACTATTTGCCTTAATAAGAGAAAATTTGAACATCAAAATGAGATCTGGTAAGCATGCAAAACTTATCAAAATGCTTCATTTAACTATTAATTTCAAAGGTCTAGCAGCTTATACAACTAAATTTCTTTAGCTGATGAAATGGACCAAGCAGATGAGGAACTAAGGGAAACGATAACCCATATTTGGCCACTACAAGCAAAGAAGATGCTCGATTTGTTGGTACCACGTAATGATGTTCTCAATGCTGGGAAACTGACCGTTGGAAAAATATATGCTGGACTTTTAATACTTGAGAGTTGGAGAGCTGCTCAGCAGGGTGTTCCGGTAAGTACTACTTATCTTAACTGCACCTTAAACAATATCGTAATAAACACTTATATCTGTGTATAAAATAAAATATGCAATTAACATACTTGTCAATATAGTGACTTATGTAGATCCAATGAAGCCAGAGTAAATTGTGACTTATGCCAATTGTATATATATATGTACATTTTGAGCCAAATGTAACTTACTTGGGTAGGTAAAACTACAGTTTACAAGTAGTGTTTGTTGATGGTCCCCTTAAATCCCCACATTAGATAAAAATTTGGAACATTACATTATAGTTAGTAATATATAGTTGGTTGTGTTGTCTACCTGTGGATGTATTGTTGTGTACAATTACACCTTGTCAAATATTTCAACTTTTTTGGTAATATTTTTTTTGTATTTACTATACATTCATGTGATTGGCTCCCTGTCAAAAAGTGTTAGCTCAACAACAGTACAACAATACAGAATCACTTAAGTTGATATCGACTCTAACGAGTCGACTACATTGGTGGTTTACTTTTCAGGCATTCAACGAGAATAGCCCTACGGCCATTCAGCCGGTAGTATTAAAATATTTTACGGAACGAAATTTGACTACTTTTTTCTTGCACTATTCTAGATATTTTTCGTTATAAGTATTTTCTCGCATCGTGTTTGAATACATTTTTTTTAATGCCAAAGTTAATTACTACTTGATAATCAATAAATAGATTCAGGATGGTCAAGAATTAAATACATCAAACATAATACCGTAGTTTAGTGATTTTAATAAAATAGTGTAGTTCTAGTAACGCACTAAAAGACGCATTGATACGGCAAAGTTGTGCGATTGACGCACAATTTTGGTAAACAGGGCTTTGTAAACCACAAGAGATTAATCTGTCCTATAGTTGCAAAATATGTAGTTATACTACTAATTTTCTTTGTTAAATTTATTAGATTCTGTCTCTCGTAGTTAGCTGTCCTTTCGTAGATCTGTCTGTTATACCAATTTGTTCACACCCTTTGTCATTTGCTATCTCCTAGAGTATTTGAGCTACCACTCTGTGTTTTATGAATATCGTTAAATAATGTGTCTTCTCCTTAGATAGTGTGCATGGTGTATTAATATTGTGAATATTTAAATATTTTACTATCTTCAATCCATTCTGTTGCTTTTCTAACGTAATATTCCTTTTATTTGATACATTTTGGCTCAATCAATTTACCATTTTAGAAGTATTTTGAAATAATTGAGAGACGTCAAATAACGCTTTCTTGCTACGCTCTTATTTGCCCATACTTTTGTACTTAGATAAGAACTACATAAAACAATAATCATATTTCTCAAGTCTGCGCATGCTGGAGAACAAAAATTCTTTAAACGATTTTTAATGGTACTTAAGATATTTTATGCATTCAAACGTGAATTCGACAACTATGCCTCTGGCTTCAACTTTATTGCACAAAGTTTTATATAACAGCACCTGTTTTGATACAAGATGCTTTGTACTTTCAGCTGCTACACTAACGATTATACTGACATAAACAAAACTTTAACAATATTACTCTGTCACGAATTCACGATACGGCTAATTTGTAATAGTTTTCTCAGATAGCTGTAGCTGAATAGATCATCAATAATACTTCGGAACAACTTAATATAAATTGTTACTTACTGTCCATTGGTTGGATTTCTATTATACAAATAACACATTGACATAAAGTTACTGAGAACTCCAGCATGGACACGATGTATGGGATGTTTGCGCAAACTCATGTAGGCTTTAGCCGTTAGTGTCCTTTGAGAGTCCGATGCGCTTGGACGCTGTATGACATGAGCATGCGCAATTGAGTGTTTGGGTGGATGCGTGATATGGGGTGCGTGGTGCAGAAGGCGTCGTTCTTTAACTGCTTGATGGACGTGGCGGCGGGACTTGGACCTGGTTCCCGTGCCGGCTCGCTCAGCCATGAGGGACAACCATCCACCGGTGGAGATGGACATTCTGATGACCCACACACTCTAGCTAACCTTGCGAGACGCAACAACAGAAAGTCTCTCAAGTAAGTTATTTCACATTACATTTAGTTTACAAAATATCTATACATACTAAGAGTTTTTGAAACACTGTTAAAAAGTATATGTAGCCAGTAGGTATTTGTGTTAATACTTGTTCTCGAACATGTAAAAAGTATTGTCCTCATATTCCCCTTTATAACCTATAAAAAATACAATAAAATAGTCTGCGCCTTACCCAGTGTGTACAAAATTCGTTCCGGCATTGAATTACACGATATTGTTTGTAATATTTGTATCAACCGTTTTCATGATTTTAAAGTGATTTATAATATTTTCACGTCAAGATATCATATCCTTTATCATTGTCATCAACAGCCTTTAATAGTCCACTGCTGGGCATAGGCATCTCCTTAGAAAGCAGGTTTTGGCCCACTATACCACGCTAGCCAGATGGCTCCCTTAGTCTGCTCTTACGATACCCATGCGTTGAAAGGGGGTGGTGACACTCCGTATTCTTAATCCGTCACCACACGGACGATCATATCTTTCATCAATCATCATCATCAATAGCCTTTAACAGTCCACTGCTGGACATAGGCCTCTCCTTAGAAAGGAGGTTTTGGCCTACTATACCACGCTAGCCAGACGGGTTGGTATAGGGTTTGTGTCAAGTTTTCCTTCCCTCTGCTGTTGTCCTGCGTAGTTCGCTCCCTTAGTCGCCTCTTACGACACCCACGGGATGAATAAGGGTGGTGACACTGTATTCTTAATCCGTCACCACACGGACATATCTTTACGTGGCAGTATTATAAGTCCTTTAAGTGACCTAATTATTATATAAATAATTCTTCAAGATAAACAACTTTTTGTGCAGTGTGACTGTCAGGAACATATTCCTAAAGAAGTAGGACTTGTAATGCACGCAAATGTTCTTCTTTTATAAAGTCTTATTTGTCTACTAAAGTGAATTTATATTTGTTTAATAAATTCAGTATTTAATCTATTGTTTTTCTTTTGTTTCAGGAACAATAAAAAGGTGAATACCTTACAAAATGGGTGACTATGTTGTCTGTTGTAAAACCCAATCAACCAAAGCCTCATGATAGCCATTGTCTAGTGCAATCGATGTTCCCACCAAAATCATTTCATTCAAAGAAAATGTTATCTCCTGACTAAAATGAAAGATTGGAAACTTAGTAACACTTATACGTTGTATATTGGTCATGTGTTGTTTATTGTATACGATAAATGGGTGTACCCCTTTAGTAAATACATCGATGCATTTACATAGATAGTCGATGTTGTAATTTATGTTAATAACTTGTTTTGGGTGTTCATTAACAGAGATATATATATATATAATAATAATGTAATAATTTGTAAATTTAGTTTTTAATACTAACCATGTTCTTAGGTAATATTGTGGTAACCAAAGTAATATAGGGCCTTAGGCTCTTAGTAATCTTGTTTTAATTATGTGGTGTAGGAACACACAAAAGTATTAATCGTAAACATTTTTAAGTTTACAGATGGTTGTTGATGTTTAGGTAAAAAAATTCAGTAATAGATTATTGTTTTTCTTTAGAAAATTTGGTCTTTCCTCTTTCTTCGGTATAACTAGGGAATGTTTTTTATTTTAAGACATGACTGTTTGACATTTTCTTAAACTACGCTACTCATACACGAACATACGAACATTACAGTCATAATATTAAACATAACAACCAAACATGTTGCACATCTTAATGGATAGTAGTTTTGCATGTGACAAAAGTGACCATTGCATGTATTTAGAGACTACTAACACTCAAACAGTTAACAATTGGTATGTAGTTATATATATTCTGCACAAGCACGTTCTGGTGCATGGTTTGCAAATTATGACACTTACTGATAAGTTAGTGCACGATTGTTGTTTTACATAACGAACTGACATTTTGTAAATATGGGACAGTAAGTGTAAAAGTTTATTTCAAATCGCTTGGAGATCTTTGTATTTTAGTTATATGTGAATATTAATGCGGTATCTGTTTTAGGTATTGGAAGTGCCAGGATCGCAACATGCGTCAATGGAGTCCTTGGACGACGGAAGATTACAAGCACCTCACACATACCAAAATGGCCACCACGGCAGATCTTCCAGCTTAAGGTAAAATTGTAACTAACTCCTACAACACATATTTTTTTGTTTGTTATTGTTTAGTTTTTGTTATTTCCTTTTTATGTTTATAGTGTCATCGAAGAAGAATCCATTGATCTCAAAGTTATCGTAGTGAACAATGGTATGTGCCATTAAAACCATCCTGTACTAACCAAATGTTATTTTCTTCAGGACTAATAATTTTTACTCCCCGATACGTTTTCTCGGTGTTGCATGAGTGGTAACATGCATGGTGAAGGAATAACTCTTTTTCTTTCAAGTTTTGACTTCAAATGCTTTTCAGACGAACGCCAAGTCCAAGAAGAAGAGGCCAATACGGAGGTTATCATCACGATATCGGGTTCTCCGACACCGTCAGCAACGTCGTCGAGATAGTTAAGCATGAACATCAAAGACACGGGCGAACACACAGAGCGCCACACTATTACCACTCACATGGTAAGTTAATTTGTTTGTATCACTTAGCTAAATAAACCAAAATATACCGTTATCCAGAATTCTATTGAAATATATATAAACATACAATTTTTAAGCAAATCTGGTGATCACATTGAATTAAGTCCACATTATAGTTGAATTTTGTAGATTTTTAGATATTCATTTTAGATCATAAGGTGTGTTTGTGTTTTGTTCCATAGCGTATCATCAGATTTGCTATCTTGATAAGTATTTATGGCTTAATGCTAATGATAAGATAACAGCGTTTTATATAGTATTTATCACATTTAAAACTATATAGCCTTTAAACGAGCTACATGCTATTAACTATTTACCATTATGTTATTCCTGTAGTATTATTTATTCATACTAAATACATTACCTATCGTCAACATACCAAAATATTTTATTTAGCTTCAATCAACCGAGAACAGTTTTGCAAACATTTTTCTTCTCATGAAGGTACTCTGAAAGTTTTGTGAGAAGATGGGAAGTCTAGCTTAAAGTAGTTGTAGTTATTCATGTTTTCGTAGATGTAGTTTTAAGATAAACAGTGAGCGAAGCAGATATGCTGCCAATCGATAAGTTTGCGAACATAGACACTTAGATTGTAAAATCTAGCTATAAACTTAACATTTTCACAAGGCTAGTCTTATAAACTTTATATTTGTAGTTAATTATCCATGATTAATAACTGCTCCATCAGTATGCTCATTACTCAATTGTTAGCCACATCATTGATATTTTAATCATCAGGTCCCACATTATATTAGTTGTAAGTACATTACAATTGGCAAAGCCACGACCTAACGAAACAAAGTGTTAAATATGCTGTACTATACTATAAATAAATGATTAATTTGCCTGCTGCATGTTAAATGAAGTAATGGTGCCAACTAAAATCGATTTAACCCTATTTGCACATAATTTAACCGCTTAACCATGGGTCCCTCGCCAAACTGAGGTCCCCAGGACGCATGCACTCCAACAATGTCACATAAATCATGCAGCATGCAAAAGCTTAATGGTTTTGTATTTTTTTTATATTTTCTACAGTAGTTGACTACAGTTACCTTGAAGAGACTTATTTCTTATGTATAATAAATTATTGTTACTTATTGTATCAAAATATTTTTCTCAATATCCTACAAACAAACTTTGGATACACAGCCAATAATTAAACCTATCCCATTCTATCCAAATTCATGCCCAGGAAGCTAAACATTTGGAACCACGTCAACAAACACCCAAAACTTTTAGAGTCACCTTTGTGAGTAAGGAAATACGGTCGGTAGTCCGACGGGCTTTAGGGTAAACCGTGGTGGAAGGTACATGAAGGTATTCCTGACAGCAGGGAAGGAGTGGAGGGCGCCGCACCCCACGACCAGCCTGAGCCAGCCCTCGCGGTCGCCCAGCCCGCCACACCACACCTACGGTGAGATCCACTCGCCACACACACCGGACGCTACATACCACACAGTCTTTCATAACACGCGATAAGCTTTGCGATATCGTACATGAGATGTTAAATAGCCTTTCTAACGTAATTTATCAGAACACAGCTTCGAATTTCGTTGTAGACTCATTCAGTAGGTAGGTACTTGATCTACATCAACATGACTACCAAAATTTTTTACTGGGGGCACGTGATCAAAACCTAACCAAATCCAACCCAACCAAAAATCGCTAGAAATATAACAATGAGCAGCATCAACACTGTATACAACGAGTTAATATTTCGATTGAACCTTATTATTTATATCAGTATAAATTATTGTAAAGCAAAGGGTCTGAACCAAAAACTAAATTGGCAATCATATTTTGGAATTTATCAGGCCCATAAGACCCTTTGCTGGCAGAGCAATGTCTAAATTTATTATTTAATCGATGTTGATGCAATCCGGCTTTGCACGTATGTAGATGTATGAAAGTGGCGCGAGTGTAGACGGAGAGCATGGTGGACATCCACAAGAAAATTGTTTGCACATCTGTTTATTTTTAATCTGATGAGGTATATACTTTGTTGTAACCCCTATTGTTTTCCTTAATTTGATTCGATCACCCATAAAGTCCCCTTATGTATCAATTAATATTACATATATATCATCACCGCATAGCTCAATATAATTAAGACATATTAGTTAGCGATTAGAATATCAAATCATTCAAAGAACAGTTTGGGCACCGATAGGTGGTGATCGGGATCGCGAACGAGACCGCGAATGGCGGGAATGGCGCGACCGGTCGTGGGAACGGGAAGGTGCCAGGAGGGGTCGCGGCCGGCAGCTGCCTCCGACGCCCACCAAGCCGTCCACGCTACAGGTCAAGCAGCAGCCACCCTTCACGAGAATCAGCCACAGTCCCTCGCACGTATGTACTCCCAAAGGCGAAAGAACTTTACTCGATGTAAAGCGATAACTGTGCAGCAGTCAAAGTAATCACACAATTATTTGCAGTTGTCACTCAGGCACACCGTTAGAGAACCGGTGGAACCTCAACACGACGAGTACGAGTATGGCCGAGAAGTTGAAAGACTGATACACCGAGATTATAGATCTAGGGAGAGGTACATGTCTACGAACTATACATAGGTGAGTTTCCATTTTAGTGAGTTTTAGCTGGTTTATAACGTAATGAATTATAAATACACAGACGCGAGCGAGGTTACGACGCAGAGTGGGGTGGCGGGCGATCGTACGAGGCGCCGCTGTCGTACGAAGCGGCGCTGGCGCTAGGACGAGGCGGAGGCTCGCGGGCCCTGCCATCGCCAGCGCCGGCGCCGCGCATGCCAAACGGGTACAAGCCGCGCGCACGCCATTCGGACTCGGACGAGGACGACTGGTGCTAGCGGCGCCGACGCGCGCGCTCGCAGCGGGACGTGCGCGCGCTGCCATTGTGCCGCGCGCACGTGCCGCTCACCGCCGCCGCGCACACCTTTTGACGAGCGCCCGCCCGCCTGAACGATCTCGTTTTATATTTGGCGACCGTGTGTAAATAGACGACTCCCGTTGCTCAGGGGTTCGGACGTCGCTCCCGGCCCGCCGCGGCCCGCCTCGGAATTCTAGTATTTACGAAGTTTTGGAAAATTTAATTTATAATTCGCTAAAATTTTACTCTTTGATTTGTATTACGGTTAGGGCGGTCGAGATATGAGACGGTGCCGGACGACTCGTTTGCGCTAGGATTTTTACATAAATGAAATTACTAGTCTATATTGTAAAAGTAAACTTTCTATATTAAATTTGCACTACCTACGGTAAAGTCTACGTTATATATCGCCTGATAAAAGGGTGCGGGCTGGTGTCGGCGGCCCGACCCCGCCCGACGCCGTTTCGTATTCAAGTAACACGTTGGGAGAACACAAGCGATTCATCGTCAGACAAATTAATTCTAGTACTGTATAAAATATTTACATAGTGAATAATTTTTACTTAGTTAATATATACTAAATAAATAATTAAACATTTTTATTGAATTTGCTGTCCTTCCCCCAAGTGCTTTATACCTACATTATTTAAATTTAAATACGATTAAATAAATAAAGATGAATTGTGTGTAAACTTTAAAAATATATTTCTGCATTAAATGACTACCCAAAATTGTTAACTCGTGTACTGAATATTGTTTAAAAGATTTTGTCGCCTGGTGTAATAGGTAAGTTTTAATATACGGACATACACATATATTCTAAGTACAAAGTATGTAATGTTTAACAGAAATTTAACGCCGCATGGGAGTATTCTGATGCTTTGTGAGATAACAATCAACATTTACCTTAAAGAAACGTTTAGGAAACAAATTAAAGGTAAGCCAAAATTTTGTCTGTTAAAATAATTATTATACCTACTAAGGGAAGGGAACGGAATACTCCCACTAAAATATATAATACAGTCATAGACATTGTGACTAATCACCTTCCACAACTTAAAAAAAACTTTTCTTTATTTAGGTATACTATAAAGTAGTTGCAGATTGCTATTATATATGATGAAACAAAAAAGACATACCTGATCGTCTTAAGTTACTTAATATTATATATGTGGATGGCTGATTATTTTAAACAAGACAAATTTCAACAAAATAAATGTAAACAATTGTCGCCAGGCACAAAATCAAAATATTATTTGTGCATTCTACGTCAGAACTAGTTTGCAATTTCGATAATAAAAAAATGGAGCTATAAAGTAAGTAAGTTAAAAACAAGCACCTTAATACGTCACCCTAGGGGTTGCAATACTAATTCTGTCGCCGATTGTACCGTACCTATATAAGAAACCCGATATTCGTCCTAATCCCACTTGATAACTACTTCATGCCATTGTCATAACTAGTCACTTATTAGCTGTTCTCTTTGGAGGACTATTGTACCAGGCTTTATAAATATTGTACTATTATGAACAAAAGTGCTTTACTGTCAAATAAATAGGCATATTACATTGTAAAAATAAGGCATTTAAAATCTGAAACATTTAAGTTTCACTTTGTAATTTATTTATAGAAGTCATTAATATCGCAAAATTAGTAGTACCTAGTACAATAGTCAGATTCAAGGATAAAATCGTTCAACACCATCAGGTACATTTGTTGCAAAGCATGATGTAGGTTACTTTAGTACGACAAAATTGTAAATACATGATTTTCTGTGATAACATGAGGAAAAAATGTGAAATTATTATTAGAGCTGTGTGATTGCATAGGAATGTTGTTCATTTCTTTAAGGGGCGACGCGTGTTTGGGATGAACCCAAGGGTTGTTTAGAATTTATCGGCTTGGAAAGTGTAGCGCGTCTGCTTAGTTGTAGTTAATAAAAGTATGAAGAGATTGTTAAAGTTTATGTTTCAATATTCATTAGTTTATATGACAACAAAACCTAACGTATTGAATCTGTGTAAATGTCAAAGGAACTCTATGTGTAAATATTAATAAGGACTTGAAGCGCTGGAAAGGTCACAGATTCGTGTTAATTTTCTGGTTTTGGAACAAATATGTTGTTTCCAAACACGCGGCTCGTCTAACAATAGATACCATTAGTAGAATCGGATATTACTCCCTCAATATTTTGATCGTTGTTGTTTGTTGCGAAGGGCAGGAACGGGTTATAAGATAGCTTTTATATTTTACCTCTGTTATAGTTACTAGTACAAAGTGTCTACGCTGGTACGTGATCGTGTCATTTTTGTGCAAATACTGTCCATTATTATACATAGTACCAATACTTTGTTAATAATATGCCTGTTTTCATGATTCCGTTTTAATACACATATGTATGTGAATTGGTCGTTTTGAACAATTGATATTATTAATGTTATAATTACAATGCTAATCTAGTTGTAATAGATGAAATAAATAAAAATTGTTTTTTAAAAAGTGTTCGCGAAAAAACGCGTGTCCCACAAAATAACTATAAACTTGTTGCCCTCGATTTCAGAGTGTTAGATTTCTTCTATGTAGGTTTATAATTTGACGAGATTGACTCATGAAGAATACTTATTTACTTATATTGTTATTGTATGGTCGTATGAGTATTTTTGTTTTGTCATTTGTAATCGGGGTGTTAGGATGATATCAACAAGCCGATGGACTTTCGATGACTGAGTGATATAATAGGTAATAGAGCTACAGCGCGTCCCGCTTTACCGTTTCCGACTCCCTCGTATTGGTTACGGAGATGTTTCACTTACATACGTGTATAAGATGTGTAAATATTGTAAAATATAAAGCGACCGTTGTGTAGAGGTCGTCTGTGAAAATGTCTAGTGATATGTTACTAGTTAATGTTAGCTAGGTAATCTCGTCCCCAACTATCCTTCAATTTAAGTTGGGTGTTTCACTGCCTTAAAATAATAATTACAATTTGATGTAATAGTTCTCTCAACTATTACAGATAAGTGGCATTTCGATTGTTCTGAGACATATAGTGGACCGTAATCACATGAACATAGAACTGATTAATTAACAACAAAGCGCAGTGTTCCATCGTTAAGTAGATAACCAAATATGACAAAATACATTACCATAACTGCAGATAGAAAGCGTTGTATAATTAAATTTATTATGAAACGAATAACACTCTCTTAACTCACTTCTGTTTATAAACATTGCCAAAAAACATTTGTAATACAGAAATGTATCATAATTAAACGATGTTTCATGTATGAAATTCACATACCTAGATGAAATAGAAGTTCTCGTGTTTTTCACTCATAGACCTAATGTATAAATCGAACTTCTGAAGTGAGATAAGAAAGTCTGAGCCCAAATTGTCAAGCCTGCCTTGTATCTGTGTAATCGCTTCACGACGATCATATTTTATATTAAAAAGTTATATTTGTATATTTAGCATAGAAAGTTCATCGGCGTCGAAAGAAGCACCATAGAATGTTTCTGGTACGTTCCAATAACTTTACAGCATAGACAATCCTATTGATATTGTATTAATAAAGAACCAAACTTAAAAAATTAGTATTTAAGTAATTTATTATCCTAAAACTAAAAAAAAAACTATACGCATGTTTTCACTATACTGGTAAAATGGTTATGTACAATACGAAAGAGCTACTGTTTTATATATGAATTCTTGCTCGCCTGTAAAATTTTGCAGAATGAATCATATTATAAGATTGTACAATATGAATAAATGCAAAAAAGACATTTCCTCGATAAAATCCGTTTTTTTTTAATACTTAATACCCTATTACTACTGTCCGTACTTTTAAAAACAAACTATTCCAAGTTCTGCTATCTTTATGACTTTTTACCATACTGTATTAAACCACACAACAGTGAAAAATCACCAAAAATCGGAAAGAAATATGAAAATTTGTAGCTAAACTGTTGCTAATAATTAGTTACGCAAGCCTCAGTTTTGTTGCTTTGACCAGTCGTGAAAATTTGCAAATCGCTAATTTGATATCACAACACCCGAAAACCACCGAAAACATCATTCAGGTCATTAACTGATAGCTAATAAAATTGTTACAAAATAGTTGCTGAAAGATCATGTTGATGAAGATAATAATAAACAGGACAGTAGGCACTTGCATTAAAAACTAACGTAATTACTAGCAACACCAAATTAACAAGAGCATGTCGCTGCATATGTTTTGTTGCTAATTGCTGAACATCTCAAATATGGATCCAGAACCAGCAATAAAATAGAAAAAAAAATATTCCCCAGTCTCACCTCCTAGAGATCACGCTATCGTTACAGCCAGTAAAATATTAAAAAAAAACATGCCGAAACAGTCATGTTTCGCCATGTTTTTTTTTAATATTCAAAAAATGCTATTTCGATTGGAAATTTGATTCTCTACAAAGAGTTTCATATGTGATATATCAAAATTTTGCTTTATGAGACATTGAAAAAACCAAAAGGCTTGATTTTTCACGCCTATCTTCAATTTCCACCCTCTAATTTAATAGTACTCCGCTGATTTTTCTTCGTTTATAACCCATTGATCGATTCCTGCAATAAACCCGTGAACGTCTTACTTCTTTTGTATATGACACAATCAATAACCTAGATATTTCTGTCCCTGCATACTTTGTTCAGTTGAGTCATCGTTATCTTCGCTATGCCGATCTGTCTACATACTTCAGTTTCACAACTGCCACTACGGGTAATCACAGAGCCAAGATACTGCAACTGGTACGTCTCGTGCAGGAGGAGCAGAAGGTTAGTTCGCTGAACGGAAGAGAAACGGTCGATTACCATCAGCTTGGTCTTCGATTTAATAATGGGAAGACTCATTTCTAGGCTAATAGTTTCAAGTCTATTCAGCAGCTCAGCCATTTCTACTTTGGATGAGGCGAAGAGGGTGGTGTTATCTGCGTAGCGGAGGTTAGATATGGTGACTCCAACTATTCTTTTGTTTTTTTTTTTTAATTCTTTAAACTAATACATGATCATAGATTTAATAACAATGCAACAGCTACCTATAGGTAAACACCGCATATGCTTTAAAAATAGATAAAACTCAAAAGTAAAACAACGAATGAAAGAAATCTCATACCGGTAAAATATTAATACTATTTTTTTTTCATTTTACATTTATTGCGTCAAAGTAAAGCTTAGTGCTTTACTTTGACGCAATAAATGTACGGACTTTTTCTTAATAATTGTATCGAAGCGTAAGTCAATGGGATCGCTGTAGTGATTCACCACTTTACACATTCTTACATAGGAAGAATTGGTACTGAGAACTGTTCTTCTTAGAAGTGGACAAAGTGGTGGGACTGGGCGGCGTGGAAGTCTAGATGGAACGCGAAACTTAAAAAGTACTACTAACTGAGGACAGTCAATTTTCTGGTCGAGAATTTTATTCGAGAATATTGCATGGTTTAGGCTTATACGTCTTGCTAGGGATTTTATTCAAAAGTGCCTCATTCTGCCTACACAAGAGCGTATTTTTTTGGTGATGCCATTGGAGAATTTGAGGGTTTCCCTCGATTTCTTTAGGATCCCATCATCAGATTCTGATTTGGTGGTAATGGGACCACCTCGGCAGCATACCCTTTCGATTACAAAAATAATTTTGAAAATCGGTCCACAACTGACGGAGATATCTCGTAACAAATATACAAAAAAAATACAGAACGATTGATAACCTCTTCTTTTGTGTTTTTGAAGTCGGTTAAAAACAAAAGCTTGAATCGGCTTGATGTTCTATTTTTAATTGTCCCTGTACCATATCCGGATTCAAAATATTTCCAACACTCTGTTGGCGCAGTTTAGGCGCATTAAATCCGTGTTTTGGCGCCGATTAATTATTTTACATGAAACTTGGATACACCATTATACGCCCGAAATAAAAATACAGTCCAAACAGTGGACTGCAAAGGGGAAACCGGCTCCAAACTAGCTCCTCCAAAAAAATCCAAAATCTATTTTTTCGGCTGGGAAAGTGATGGCGACTGTTTTTTGGGACAGTCATGGAGTTTTTTTAATCGATTATCTCAAAAAGGAAAAACCATTACAGAAGCATACTACGCATCATTACTTGACAAGCTGAAGGCAGAACTTGCGGAAAAACCGGTCAGGTACGAGTCGAACTCGTGCGCCGAGGGTTCCGTACCTACCCAGATTTTACGTATATTTTCACGAAAAATTGTACTTACCAAAATTTATCTTAATTAACTCACTCACACACTCAACTTTTTTTATTTTTTGGAATTATTCCTTTATTTGTACTGTAAGACGTTTCTTTTTGCCAAATTTCGTGACTCTATGTCAACGGGAACTACCATATAGGTTTTCGACCCAAAACCTATAAGGGTACTTCCGGTTGACTTAGAATTGACAATTTTGGTTAAAAAATTCTGAAGAATAAACACACAAGTGGTGACACACGGACAGACGGATAAGAAAGTGATCGTTTTGATGTATGGAACCCTAAAAACGGCCACATTTGCAGAAAAAGAAAATCCTGTTTCACCAAGACAACGCACTGTCTCACAGCTCAGCGGTTGCCATGGCGAAAATCCACGAATTATGGTTTGAACTGCTTGACCATCCGCCTTACTCACCAGATCTAGCCCCAAGCGACTTCTTCTTGTTCCCTTATCTAAAAAATGCACTCGGAGGAGAGAGATTTTCGTCAAATGAAGAGGCAATCATCTTTATGAACAATTATTTTTCAGAGAAAAACTCCGAGTACTATTTGGACGTCGTATTTGTTTTAAAAACGGCCAAGTGTCAACAACGTAATTATAATGCTAGACATATACCTTGTCTATATGGATTTGACTTTATCAAAAAAGGAAAATACAATGAAACACAGATACACGAAAACAAATAATTTACTAGTAGCGACATAATTTCACAAACAACGCGCCATCTTGGCGCCACTATAATTTCTTAAAGACATCCAATCTCAACCGCTACTTCAAAAACATTAACTTTGACAAACTTAGAAACCATCTCGTTCATATTACACACTTTACAAAACAGTAGTTCGTGAAATAGTTCAATACAAGTTATGTAAATAATTAAAAGGTAAATGTAAGACTGGACAATTAACAAAAATTAACAATAATTTAACAATAACAAACAAAAAATTCTAAAAAATACTAAAGAAACAATAGATATCGTATTTACATTAACAAAACTAAATAAACTTTGAACTGCCATTTAATTACTCATCTAATCAAGCATGTTCATATAGAACTGAAAACGTAAACGTGAAACATTTAAATATTGTAAAGTGTGTAAACAGGCATGACCCTAGATATCGTAATCCATTGAAGAAAAAATCTAAACAAACAAATTTCAATTTAAAAAGAAATAAAGCAAGTGACTCCTAGACTTCCACAAAGTTCTATCAACGTTTAAAGGATTTTTAATCTTAAAATGGGACTGTGTAGATTAACCATGAAAAATATTTCAATGGCTAAAACCTTCTAAACTTCTCTTGAAACGTTAATTAATGCAATGGGACTAAATCTTAAAATAATACTAAAAAGGAACTCAGCCTTGACATACTATTTAATATTGCAATTGTAATTTGCAATAATTTTTTTGACAATTTATCTTCTTATATTTTTAATTGAGATTTATTTGTTTATGAATTTATCTCAAGTGGGACCTTTAATCATCTGAGTCAGGTACATCGGTGTCAATGGAACTGATGTCTGCACTGATGTCGCTGGCCTCATTCGAAAACGTTCGCGGTCGTCGACGACTGTTGGCCGTTAGTGTGTGGCAAACGGCTCCTAAAAATAACATTTGGAATATGCTTAAATATGTACCTATATATAAATACCTGAACAACGTGCAATTTTTGTAAATTATATTATAGTATGTTTAACAGTCGGACTCTTACAAAACTCTACATCACACACCCGTTTTGGCAGCTTCAACACACCGTTTTACATAGCTTTGTATCACATTCAACTTATTTAAGAACTTTTATTTCAGATCGTTTCTTCCAGGCTTTAATCCGCCCTGTTGCCAATTCCGGACTCAGCTTCTTTTATTCTATATTTTCTTTTAAAAGACAACTCCCGCACTAGGACGCATAGAACACCCAGACTCAGATCCATAATTTGTGGATCACACAAAGTGTCGTCCCATGTGGGGATAGAAATCACAACACTCAGCGTAGTAGTAAGCGGCGTGGCGACCGCTTAAACCACTACGCCGAGAGTGGAGTCAGTTACAGCTGATGTCTCTTACCTGTATACTCCTTTCTTATCTTATTTAAAAATATAAATGTTTGAGGTGTAATCTTTATAATTGCTGGAATATTATATATAGTGCATGCGATCTTTTCAACTCCTAGACAAGAACAAAGCTGATCCCATTCAATCACATAGATAAAAAGGAATAACACCTTCCACATTTGTCGAATATTCCTCTCTTGAATAGTCTTCATTGAAATTTGCTGAAGCTAGAGCAGAACTTGTTACTGGGTCTCTCAACAGTTCAATTTGAGCGGTGTATGTCGATGGGTCAATAAGTATTGCCTGAATAATACAAATAAAATATGTAAATAACGTAACAGGTAGCAGGGTAGGTAGATAATAAAAAAAATCTTTATTTCTAAAATAGTTTCTAATCTAATTGCTAATATTTCTAATATTTTCAAATAAGTTGACCGATCGATTTCTTTTTACTGACTTCGCTGTGTGGACTAGAAGACGTATCACTGGAGCTGAGAGAGGTGCCTCTCCCTGAACTATCCTGAGACTGATCACTATGAATTCCACGGCCATCACCAGCTCCTGCGACTGCATCGATAATCCCTGGCTCAATAGCGTTGCCATTTACATCATACATTGATTCCTGATCCATAGGTGCAGGCTGTGGACCAACCATAGGCTGGTCTTCTATCACCTGCTATACAAAATAGGTATTATATAGAAGGCGCATAATCTGAAGCTAGCACCAAAGTGTCCTCCATAAAATCAAAGGATATGTACTTACTGAATGTTGCTGGCTGATAATTTGAAACAGCCAATTTGGTACAACAGCATCATCGTCTATAAGACACGATTGGTAACTCTCTGAAGATCTTCCCGAAATAAATAATTCTTCAGATGTCTAGAGAAGACAAAGTTTATATTGAAACATAATTATGTACTTGTAGGTATGAGTCGACCAGCATTACGTAAGCGAACGTTTGGAAAAGTGAAAAGCATATATCCCAACCTACCAGAAAATCAATTAAAATCAATAAGAGTGAAATGGGGATAACTTTTAGGCTTTAGGTTTTTACGATTTCCAATAAAAAAAATATTAAAAATAAATTGACTTATTATATTTGGAAGTCCAAATTCAGGAAATGTAAATCAGGACAATTCAGTATATTGTAGCTCTAATAAAATGTAAGAAATCATTGGAGTAAGGGATTTACAAAAAACAAGCGAATGTAGTTTTGATTTGCCAAGTATTAGTTAAAATTGTTTTATTCAGAAATAAATTCATTCTTGTCAGTTTTTAATTAAAAAAAAATATTTTGAACTCAATTGACATTTATGGAAGCGCCGTACCTGCTGCGATATATTTTAACCCTATGCTTTTATGTTCTGCATTTTAAAGGGTTTCTGCACTGACGTATGTAACAAAAGTGGTGGTACTATAGCCCACGGAGCAAATACAAAGAGGAGAGGGCATAAGCACCTGTGCACTGTCATTCGAACTAGATCCTGACATCATCACAATGGGCATGGTTTAAAATTATTACACACAGTTTTTTGAAATATAGTTACATCTATGCGACACTAGATGACTAAACTTTTTGTAATGGAAACTGAAAAAACAAAGGTAGAGCTTAGCTCTAGTAACATAATACTGAAATTTGTTCTGCATTCAGTCCTAGGTAATTTTTAATTGCCAAAATAATATATTTAATTTTTTTTTAATCATTCTGTGAACAGACTGTTTTCTCTAGTTGACGATAGACAACTATTTTTTAATCTATCAGACGAAATTGACACATACAGATGTCAAAGAAATAATGGTATCATACGTTATAGATCAACCGTCAAATACGCATTAGGTCAAACACTCAAAATGACAAGAGGATGTAAGTTTTCGCAAAATGTCAAATACAAGAATCGGGTATTGAAACTCTACCTCACCCACCTTACAGCCCCGACTTAGCTCTTTTAAGATAAAATGCAAGTTTTTTCAAATGGCGAAAAACCGGATAGCCAGAGTACAGAGAGTATGTCAAAACTTATATAGTGACCTAAGTAATCGTACGTGCATGTTTTATTGATATAGCCTCCGCAAGTGGTAACTCTGTATTACGAGGGGTGATCAATAAGTAATGATAATCGAGTATTTCTAGAACGCACAAAAACCCAATTTTTTTTTTTTCTGCTTGCTTATATATCCACTACTTCAGCTTCAAAAAAATGTATAAATAGGACACCATTACCGGGAGATACATTCATTTGAATACGAACTGTCGAAGAGAAAACATCAAAATGGAGAAAAATGAAATAAGAGCTGTCATCAAGTACCTCTGCCTGAAAAAAATGTCTACCAAAGACATACACAGCGACTTAGAGGAAACATTGGGGGAGTCTGCTCCTCCATATTCCACAGTCGCACGCTGGGCAAAGGAATTTAAGCTGGGCAGAACCTCCACTGAAGATGAACATCGCGAGGGACGCCCTTCCACGTCCCTTACTGGAGAAAACCTCAAAAAAGTGGAAGATATCGTGTTGGCCGATCGAAGGGTGACCGTAAGGCATGTAGCCGAGGTCACAGGGATCTCCTATGGCAGCGTTCAAAAAATCATTGTCAACAAAATGCATATGAAAAAGGTCTCTGCGCGTTGGGTACCGAGAATGTTAACCGACGAGCAAAAAAAGAAACGAGTCGACATTTCGAGGGTGAATCTTCAAAAGTTCCAGGCCGATAAAGAATTTTTTCTGTCGCGTTTTGTGACCATGGACGAAACCTGGATCCACCACTTTGATCCCGAAACCAAACAACAATCAATGACTTCGAAACGAGCTTCCTCACCAACGCCGAAGAAATTCAAAGTGTCAAGTTCAGCGGGAAAGGTTATGGCGTCTGTTTTCTGGGATGCAGAAGGAATTATTATGGTGGAATATTTGGAAAAGGGGGCCACTATAACAGGCTCTTACTACGCAGGCCAAATAAGAAGATTGCGAGAAGCTATTAAGTCAATAAGACGCGGTAAACTGCGCGCTGGAGTGCTGTTTCACCAAGACAACGCCCCGGCTCACAAAGCCGCAGTTGCGATGGCTGCCATTGAAGAAACGGGGTTCGAACTGCTCGAACACCCTCCCTATTCGCCAGATCTAGCTCCCAGTGACTTCTACCTCTTTCTTCGGCTCAAAGAACACCTCCGGGGCAACAAATTTGAGGACAATAGTGAAGTGATGGCCGCAGTAGAGGCATTTTGGGAGGGTCAAGACAAAGAATTTTTTTCTAAGGGAATCATGGGCTTAAAAAAAAAGATACACTAAATGTATTAACTTGCAAGGAGACTATGTTGAAAAATAAAATACTTTTTTTAATCTAATAGTTCTGTTTCATATTGATTATCATTACTTATTGATCACCCCTCGTATATATACTATGAGTGGCAGAATTATTAACTTTTATATGTAATATATATATATTTGTGTGTCTCATATGTATTTTTTGTAATTAATAAAGTAATTAAAAATATTTGTTGCATATTTTTGCATAATATTTACATATATTGTCTTTTATATAACGCAACCGATTTTAAAGCGGTTTAGACCAAAAGAGAGAGTGATTCAAGAGGCGGGTTTATATGTATAATACATGCATGGTTATAGTAGAGAAAAGCCGAGAATATCAAAGATTTGTATTATCGAGACGGTTTTTGTGCCCTTACATTGTAAAGACTGCCCTGAACCTTACAAGATAGGGGAAATTAATGTACTATGAAAGATCTACAAAAAAGTCTGCAAAGGTATATGTAAAAAGGTTACTGTGGGTTATCCTTAAGAGATAGTCTTAAGGATAACCCACAGTAACCTTTTACAGCATATAATTAAAATAAATATCTAATAAGATATTCATTTTAATGATAATCTGTAAATAAGGAAAAATACTGCATTGTTCAATTTATTAGTATTAGTACGAGTAGTATCTTCATTGCACCATTACGAAGCCGGGGCGGATTGCTAGTTACATTTACTAGTAAATCTCTATACCGTTTTAAATAACTATACCTACACATTTTATCCACGATAATTTAATATAATATCGATAACTTGATTTTTGCTAACGTCAATTTCCGATAGTGACACATCACTATTTAAGACTTGCAAAAAAAAGTAGACTTGCAAAAAACAATACAAACTTTTACTTACAGTTTGTCTTGCTGTGGGTGGTCTCATAGCCAGACTGCCTGTCTCAGAATCGACTAAAGCGATTGGATCAGGTTGTTGACTTGCCACAGGTTCACCGTCCAGAGAAAAGCCACTAAACGCTTGAATTGCGAGAACGCCCGGAGGTTTCTATAACATAATATATAAAAATATTTAATAAAATATCGTACGATTAACTTTTACAAACAGTTTTAATACGTGCCTGCATTAAATTTTCTTTTCTCTCGAATATATCTGTTACCGAAACAGGAACAACAGCCACATTCGATCCCTGTGAACACTCAACTTTACCAACGGCTGCGTTAACTTCACTTTCATGGATGAAATATTCAGAATCTTTGGAGGTTGATGTCATAGATTTAAACGATAATAAATCTAAATCAGTTACGTTTAGGCGTGTGTTCGCTATACTAACGATGGATTCATTCCCTAACATCGTGTCTAAAGTAGAATTGAATAAGTTTTCCTTGTCACTCTCTACAACAGTGCTGTTTAAATAATTAGCTGTGACTGTTACAAAACTATTAAATGAATCGTTTAAATCTGCGCTATGATTCACATCATCGGAGTTTAAATGTACTGATCCAGAAATCAGATCTGATCTAGTAATTTTACTTGGTAAATTTATAGAATTTAGCAGGTCTCCAATTACTTGTTTCACGTCATGTGTAATGTTATTCGATTCGTTAGTGCTTTGTAAGCTCAGTTTACGATCATCATTATTTTCTAGAGATTTTACAGTATCATCTGATGATATGACATTATTAGAATCTTGTGTATTTAGATCATACACCATGTTAGTAGATATTGAACTACTTTTGGACGTATCCTTATTAGGAATCACGCTGTTTATTGAAGAAGTTCTAGACCTCTTTCGAGATACGGATGCACTAAGAGATCGTTTTTTATCAATAGTGTCTTCTGGTGTTGGTATTTTTATATTAGATTTATTAGATCTAGGCGTTTTGTGTTTCGATGTCATTAGAGGCGTAGAGAGGTCGGCCTTCATCTGGGTTATGCAAATATGCTGACCAACAAATGGAGATTTAGCAACATTTTCAGATTCTTTGCTAGAAAAGTTTTCTGTTGTCTCCGGGATATTTTCTTTATTGTTTGTGTCTCTATTATTTTCCGTCCTTTTTGCGGTTTTACATCTTTTGATCGTTTTTTTTGTTTTAGTCGGTGTAGGATTATCTGATTCACTAGTGTTTAAGCTACTTCTGTGTGATGATGCAGAATGTCTATGGTGAGTTAAATTTTTAGACTTTGTGTTTACTGCTCTAACTGTTACTATACTATTTGGGGACGAACAAGTCGAACTGTTCAATGATTGATGACTGCGCGTGCGTTTAATGAAATTTCCATTTTGCATTATATTGTCTTCATTAGTAGGATTTAGAATAAGCTGATCTTTAGAAGGATTACAATTTTCCGGATTCTCATTACGAAATACCAAGTAAGTATTTTCCGTAATTTGTCCTTGGAACTGGAGTAAATCTTTTTTTATTACATCATTTTTCACAGTAATTATAGGTACATCTTTCGTAACTGTTTCTTTCTGATCTAAATCAAAATCAACAGAACTCATACTTTCATTTAAACGATTTTTTTCTGACATCTCATTTCTTTTCCTCATATACAACGGTATATAATTTTTTTTTAATTTTTGTGTACAACCTTCTTTTTTACCACCAATGACAGCTGTAAGTTGAGGTTTCTTCGTAGTGTATGCTGATTTATTATTTTTAGAAGTAATCGAACTAAAAAAAAATAATTTAAGAACAAACAGTATTTTAAATATATATGTACTTAAGAATGAATAAAATCTTACCTCATTCCTATCTTTGAAGCAACCTGAAAAATAAAATGAGATTATATGGTAAATTATGGTGATAATGGTAAATTGTGGTGATAATGGTAAATTACGACAAAAAATATATAAGATCTATGTATACTTATACCTTAGTCACATTGATAACCTGCCTATTTAGTCTTAATGTACTAGAAATGCCTTTATCCGTTTTCACTAACTGCCTGCCTGAGTTATTTCTTTTGTTCTCAGTGACTTCTTCTTGCTTTACTTTCTGCAATATTGAGCCATTACGTTGCAGAGGTTTTTTATTATCTACTTTTAACTCTTTCTTCTCCATTTTCTTAATAGATATTTTATCCCTTGGATTAAAATTTTTATCCTTTACTGTTTCCTTTTGCCTTCTATTACCAGATTCATAAATCTTCTTGGCTAAAATAGTGTTTGGTGTTCTTTTCCTTCCAGATTTTGGTCTGCATCGCTGCCATTTTCCTTGATAGACAATGTCCTCGGACTCTTGTTTGTCCTTATAACTATGCACATATACTCCTCCACAACTGAGTTTTGGTTTACTGTTCACTATATTAGGAACTTTTTTAATCATGTTACTCTCTTTACAATCCAAGGATTTCAATAGTAAAGTTTCGCTATCAGTCTCTGTGGAGTTGTCGAGTTGTGAAAATGATTTTAGGATTGAACCATCGCTAGCACATAATTGACAGCAAGAACATTCAGCCTTTGAATTTCTTGATATAGGGTTTAAAACAATAGTTTTGTCGAAAGAATCGTCGGCCGCCGAGACCAAAGAAATCAGTTTTTCAGACATAATCATATTTGACTCAGGGCTCCAACTTCTAGGGCCAGAGTTTCGGTTTGCGGCCTCGATAGTCCTCTGAGTCATGGACGAATCGTAAGGTGCAGGAAAAATATTGATGTCAGAGTCTTTTATTTTGATTCCTATAGATCTTGATCGTGGTGTAACTATTTTATCATAATCACTTTCATGTGTGGAGGTACCAAAGTCGTTTCCTTGCACAGTATCAGGGGCAGGGTCGTGAATTTTAATCCCCGCAGAGAAGCCTTGAGGTATTCTGACTAAGGAAGTTGATGCAGACAACATTGGATAGGCAGCTAGCGTGTCTGGACCGCATTGTACATCCATGCTGACATTATGACGGATGCCTTTTGATGTGCTGGGTTCGTTTATGTCTAAACAGTAAATATAAAATTTAGCTACAAACCAGTTTTTAATTACAGTAATAAATATTAATACAAAAAAGTTATATGCACCGTTACCATTTAAAAATATTGTTTGTGAAAATATATTTTCCGTGCTAACTTCATGCCTAGTACATAAGTTTACATCAATATCGTTACTTATTTCTTCCATTTCGTCTTTGTTAGAAATATCAGCCTTTTCAGTATCTTGTGCATTGTTGTCTGTACTTTTACAAAAAGGTATCGTTTCTTGTGTGTTATCGTCTATTATAATATCAAAAAGTAAACTTTCTTCAGGTGCTACTGCTAATGGATTAGATTGATTTAAAACCACAATATCGTTAGAAGTATCGACGACATTCAAATATTCCTTAAAACACTGCATACCTTTTATTTCTGGGTTGCAAAGGTCTATAAGACTTTCTGGTATCTATAACAAAAAAAAACCTTGACGTACACTATAAAAAATTAAATTCAAGAAAGAACAAAATTGGATGTTACCGGTTTTGAAGACCTCATAGTCAAACATTGGTTCTCCTTAGTTTTCCTCTTCGGTCTAATGATATAGCTATCGTAAGAACCTGGATTCTTACTGTCAGAATTTTTAACAATATTGTAATTAGGACATATTCTTTTAGTCACCTTTTTTGTAACTCGTGTACTACTTGTTTTTCTCTTTTTATCTTCGCGTTTGAACTTATATTTGCTAGACGAAGTTTTGCTTGACGGAGTCAGGCATATTGGTGATTCCATTTCTTTGTTAGCAATACATTCGCCCTCTAATTTCTCTTTTTTATGTAAAGTATTAGAGACACTATTCGATTCTAATAAACTATTTTTTTCCGAATTCATCTCCTGATTATGATATGGGGCTACTTCGACATCGACATCGAGCCACGCTTTAGTTCTTTCCATCGGATTTATCTCAGGTTTTAATCCAAGAATCTCTGCGGTTAGTTCTGTTAGGGGTCTAGTTGTATTGGGAAATAGATTTTCGTTTTGCTCTAAATCTGTAAGTCAAAACACAATATTGTCCCCATTTTGCCAACCATAGTTTAGGCCCACTTATGTAATAACGGGGAAGCTTCAACCGGGCTTCTTCAATGATTGGATGGGAAATTTAGAAGTTCATTAAAAGGAAAGGTAGATTAAAAGGGAAGCCATATCCATTTTCTAGCATTAGCAAATGGATATCGTTTAAACGCTTAATTGGGGAATGTGAGAATTAAGACGAGCAGATCATAGATATATATTTTACGTACCAATTCATAATGTTTTAGAGATACATTAATTGTTTACCTTTGAAGCCATTACAACTGGAACTCATAATATCATTTTGTGGATCAGAATCTATGAACGGGGATTTAAGTGCTTCAGCATTTTCAGAATCTGAACAAAGGTGAATTTATTTTAAACAAATACAAACATGTAACGTAAGTTTGTTTAACAAATTTATTACCTGGTGCTTTTATTGTATCCGTATAGTTGTCGTTTATATTCTTCCTGAAAATATTTTATTGTTATCGACCAAATGTAATGATTCATTAGTTAAAAAATCATTAAGTTAAATAATTCGAACCTTTTACTGTACTGGGAACGTTATTAGATACTCACATAATATTATCTTCTTGCATTTCGTCAAGATTACCAATTTTTTGCTTACTATCATCATCTTGTACGAAATCTGCAATTTTAAGGAGACTTAAAATCATAAGACTAAGTTTTGCACTTCACTTATGAAATAAAAGGAGCTAAATATATTTATGTACAGATAACAATAATGACAACAGGACAACGGTGAGGATAGCCTGTCAAACATTAAAGTAAATTAAATATGGACATCGTACCAAATCTTAGAGCCTTTATTGAATCTTCCATAACGTGCTGCTTGCGCCTTTGAATAGCTTTCTCGGTGAGTGTGAGGAGATCTAATAATTTGCATTGCATCCACTTAGCCGGGGGAGGAGTGGTCCGTCGTGTGCTCGTCCGTAAGGCTAGTTTCATTAACTTGCATACAATTTTATCTAGCTCAGTTGTTATATCCTCATCGGCGGTTAGCATTGTACGCAGATTGCGTAGCTTGTAGTCCAGTGCGCGACGAAGACAACGGTCTTGTGGACAATAACATACAAGTCAATCATCAGGTTAACGTGAGTATCTATAGATGTCGAAGAAATGACAAAAACCAAAAACGATTAAATATTTATTACTGTATCTAATATGCAAATTATTATAAATATTCATCGTGAACACAATTAGATTTTCAGCACCCAAGGTTTTAATTTTAAATAATAATATTATCTGATAGTGTTTTTACTATATATATCTTTATATATATATATATATATATGAACTTCCTATTAGGATTAAGAAACACCAAAAAAAAAAGACAGATTTCCACTCAGATTCCTACTTATCGTCACATTAAACTTCGAATAGATCGTTGAATTACGTCTACGTCAATCAATTTATATATATATATATATATATATATATATATATATATATATATATATATATATATATATATATATATATATATATATATATATATATATATATATAGTTTGGAATCCTACCTATCCTACCGCCGTGTGTAAGAGGTGTGTGAAATATTAAAATATTAAATATTAAAATACTTTAAACCCTACTTCTACTGCCTCTTCTTTTTGTGAGGAAGTTATGTACGGTTTAAGAGGCAGCGGAAAGGGAACAGGAGAGGGCCAAAACTCTTCCGTCGCGTAGAAGTGGCACCAGGCGCAGGAAATTGAAAAAATAACTCCGACCGCCATGGGCGCTGGTCTGAGGGTAACTAAAAAAGGGTTGGGCTGCCGTCACCTAGCAGAAACAGGCCTCAGGCGGTGGCGTGACGTCTTTAAACTAGAATCAAGGCAAGGCCCATTGCAATCGATTGAATGAAGACAATTTACAATATTTTATTTATGCACTCCATGAGAGACGGCGCTGCAGTGACCAATGTACCTGCAATCATGACTAGTATGCTGTTAGAGCTAGCCCGCCAAACATTCTACCTCGCCGTATGGTCTGTCTTGTAAAAATGGGTAAATTTTTACAAGACAGACCAAACGGCGAGGTAGAATGTTTTTGGAAATAAACGTATATAAATGAGGATTCAACAAAAAATATATTTCTTTGCTGGTTTTTATTAGTAGTTAGGTGTTTTTTACACGGTGCAAGTAGCTGGAGCGGGCAAAGACGCGGTTTATTTGCGTCAGTAGCATGCATTATTTGCATTGCATTACTTGCACGTTTGGTTGCTATAATGAGCATGCTGCTCGAGCGGGTTACATGTGTCATTCTAGTGCCAGATTTGACACAGTTCAGTACCAAGGTGCTTGTACACGGTGCAAGTAGCTGTCTGTACCTGCACTCTTACATGCTCGAGTCGCTAGACCCGCATAAGTCCTCTTCGTGAAGCAAGAAACCTGCGCAAGTTCCTCAACATGCGCAAGCTACTCGCATCGTGTAGAAACACCCTTATTGTATAGTATTACTGATTGCAAAGATTGTTCCTAAAAAACTAAATTCTAATAAAAGTAGGATAAGCATACTTAAATAAAAATAAAGAGTTAACACAGCTGCTTTTAATCAACCTCTAGAAAGTAAATAGAGCCAGGCACATTTCCAGAGAAGTTCTGATATGGATATCTCTAAACGAGCTTACCTTACACCGTTTGCCTCTATTCAGAAATCTGAGTCATTTGCGTCCGTACATATGTATGTATATAATTACAAACTTTTAGTACGTTTACTGTCAAAGGTACAAAATCGTATGTACAGCCTCGCCGTAAGACATGAGCGGTGCTCTCAATCTAAATAGGATATGTAACCTACTAAGTTTCACAAACATAGAGTATGTATAACCTTGATAATCAGGCACGATTGTACTTCCCTCGGACACCGTTGTAGATTGAACTTCGGTAACATTATCCCACTGCAAAACAAAAGTAGATGGTCTTCAAAAATGACAAACCTAGTATGGCGTAGGTACTTTACTTCAGGGGCAGCTCTCGGTCTCCTAGTTATCTATCTTAACAATGGGCAACATATAAATATTAGTTTTAATTCATAGTCATTTTATGGTCAGGCATTCCAATTCTTTTACATAATTATGTCAATTCAGCTTCTACGAAAACCAAAACCCGTGTGTGAATATCCTCTTATGTGGGTTGTCACGGATCCTTGCACCACCCGTCAACTACTTAGTCAAGGATCCATATCAAGACGAATTTAGTTATTTTTTTACTGAACAATAAGTTTTGCGAATAACAAATGTGAAGTTTTTCTTTGAAACGAAACTTATGAATTAATGAACAGAATCTATGCATCAGTTGTCAATTATTATTAGCGTTATTTTCATGGTTAGTTCGGTTGTTTCTTAGCAGGGAAAAACAAACAAATATAGCAAACAAATAAAGGGCTGAAAATAAAAATAACGCTTCGCTTGCCGTTCAAAGTTAAGCAGACCGGGCCAGCAGCTATTCATTCATTCGCGATAAACGCACAAATAACTCACTGTGATCTAAACTCTAGGGCATTTACTGTTTTTCATACGCCACCTATTTTTATCAAAAACAAAAACGTCACACATTCTCACCATATTAAAAAAAAATCGTCAAGAAAATCGCAAAGAGATTTTAATGTTAATGTGTTCTTATGAAATCGTTTATTTTTCAAGTTAGTCTCGAGTTTTCTGCCGTTCATTGTAAACAACAAGACGTCCAAAACTTCTATTTCTACAAACTTCATAATTATGATATGTCTAAATACATATTGAATAACTATAACTAATGACGGGCAATACAATCAAACCACATAATAAAAAGTACCAATTTAATTTCAAATCCACATTAAATGCGATAACTGTATGATCATGCATAAATAAATACAACATAACATTGTTAGAAGGATCTCCTTAAACCAGACTAAACGTGATATATTTAAAAAACTAATAAACAAAAAAAAAGATGGTACCATAGTGACTACTTGTTGATATTACAAAATATTCAATAGTTGTGAAATTAAATTGAAAACATAGAAGTCAAGGTTCTTGTCGCGACAGTTGTCACGCCTGACACCGTCATGGGAGGACGCTTCACTTTATGACATAAAACTCATAACTCAAGTCGCTATTCAATCCCCATTTTAATTATAGTATCCACTGGCTACACGAATCTTAAATAACTAAACTTAATGTGAAGAGTCATGCCTATTATCTTCTTAAACAAACAGCTGAAACTAATATTAATTGATCACTTTTCCTCAGTCTTGTTAAAAGAGATATTTAGTTTTAACTTACAAACTAAAACCTATAATTAATTAGAATTATACATGTGAACTAAAGTTATGACAAAAGCTTATGAAATATTAATTAACACACATGAATGGTATGTTATACCATTTAACTACAGATGATATTCAAAATTACTGTCATAACTAATGAATAAGTTCTAATCAGGATGTAATAAGAGTATTTAGTGTAAACAAATCCAATTCTGAACTGAATTCCAATGTTCTTAGAACAGATTTTTCATTGAGCAAAATCTCACCCTTAGCTACGGCTAGTGTCACAGGTATATTACTGGGCGAAGGTCTAAGTTGCCTCCAAACTACTTTTAGTTTTGATTGTAATTACATCAGAGATGTTAGATACGTTGTCCTGCCATTCATCGTCCTGTGAGCCGACCGACACGGTGTCTACCACCAACCGTGAGTGTATAACAACATCGTCTACAATTTCATAGCCATTCCACACCAGGATGTCTCTGAAAAACAAAAATATATTACAGTTTGTGTTGTTCATTTTAAGTAACCGGCCACCTGATATTATCTAAATTGCAAAGGCTTGTAAGGTACAGCAAACATGCGTACCGTATTTGCTGTACCTTACAAGCGTCCGCAATTTTGCTACATAGACGCTACTAGTCATTGGACAGAACAGCACAAAACCATATTATTAAAATTGCTTTGAAATGAGAACACTGTTACGGTGTTGGGACCTATCGGTCCACATCGAGGTTTATATGTAGAAGAGTAGGTCAATCCCAGTTGGATTATGGACGAAGTATGGATTTGTAGCTGGGGCTGGCACTACCTTTTGTACATTTTACGATATTATTATTCATATCAACTTACCTGACCAAGTTGATATCGTCAGTAATATGCTCGACGACACTCATTAGATCGCTCAGCGGTATTTCGAGTCGGTTCTTGACACACGTAGGGGCCTCATCGCACTGCGAGTCGATCAAGTGGTTGATCTCTTCCGAGATAAGGTCTAGGATGCGACACTCTTCGGATTTAGTCTGAAGATAAAAAATGCAAACTAAGTACGTTTATAAGTAAAATTTGTACAATGTGTCCGATTGAAAATATTTAGATTTAACATGTATTTAAATTACAGTTACTGGGTAATAGTTGAAGAAGCCAAACAGTTAGGTTATTGGCTTGCAATAAATATTATTATTACAGTACATTTCAGTTTGTCGGATTATTACAAGATATAACAAGATTTTACGAAAAAGTTCACGAACCATCTGGAACTTTGTACGAAAAAGTTTTGTCGACTGCACGGATGGCGTAGTGGTTTAAGCGGTCGCCACGCCGCTCACTACTACGCTGAGTGCTGTGGGTCCGATCCCCACATGGGACGACACTTTGTGTGATTCACAAAGTGTTGTTCTAAGTCTGGGTGTTCTTTGTGTCCGTTTCATGTATGTTTGTAAAGTCGCCCGTGACACAGGATTTATTCTTAGTGCGGGAGTTGTATTTAAAAAAAAAAACAAAAAAAATGTCAGCACTAAAAATATATATTTTTTTCTATGCGGAAATCCCCTCGGATACCACTTACCGGTGGCAATGTCAGACTTGAACCGACTAAAACCGCACGCCGTCTCAAATACGAGTAGTCGGGGAACCAGGTGTACTCTAGAAAGGAAATCCCTGGTGCCCCGACATACCTCGGGCCATCTACGGCGGGTAGACGACCCCCCTGTGTGGGAATCCCCATGTTCCCTTTGTGCTCCCGGAAGGGCGCGCGCGCTTCGCAACGCGCTCGCTGCCACCCCGGCCTGCTTCTGCTAGGGTGACAGATGGCCTCACCTGTCACCCCTAGGTTTGCGCTTATGGAGAACGGAAGTCGTTCTGCGACCTCCGGCGCCTGAGTCGTCTGCGGTACCTAGCCCGTTCCCGAGCCTGGCGGGCCGGGCGAGTTCTAAACCTCTCCCGGTCCCTCTCCACCATCTCCTTCGCAAGCATAACTTGCTCGCAGAAGGAGACGGCAGAGTTCCACGCACTTTAGCTCCGCACGATGGTCCGATCATCGCAGTGGTGGCACTCAGGCGTTGGCTCCTTGCGGATCAGACAGGTGATCCCCGAAACATCCTTTCCAAGTGATCACCAGCGTCAGTCGGTATGAGATGGTCCCGTGATGCCTCTCGAGCCAATCCTCCATAACGGGTCTTACCGCCGCGATGACGGCGTGCACGGATCACTATAAATACCTGCCGTGAATCGTTACATTCTAGTCCTGCGATACAGTGAGTAAACAAGTGCAAAAAAATAGGGAACAGTACAAGTATCAATGAGGATTGTTGTTAAGTACATACCTCAAAAGGACAATTGTATTCTTTAACAACTTTATAATACTGGTTCCAATAAGGTGCATCGTCTCCCCAGTTGATGTTACACCAGGTAGTGGATCCATCCTCTGGTCCATCCATGATACACTTGTTGAATTTCAATGTCTTTGTTAACTGTCGAATCTCGTCCACGACTTCACGTGTATGCACTGAGTGTATTTTGTTTTTAGCCATCAAGTTTTGTGAAGTCTTAGAAAACTTCTTCACTTGAAGTGTTGAGCAGTTTAATCTGAAAAATGAAGGAGCATGATTCCTTTTAACTCTGTGTTTCAAATAGTTGATAAAGACAAGTGTTGGGATCAGGATGGAGCTGGTGTTGAGTGTTGACTTTACACCAAAATTGTAGTTTTAGCATTACATTATATTCATTTGTATTTGTCATGTTTCCTTTGTAAGGCATTAACGAAGTTTCATTTACTAATAATACAATACTGTAACATATGATGCCACATATGAAGAATGAGAAATAAAAATGCGAGGTGGAGATTATTTCTTAACCAAGAATATAAGGTATGAAAATAAAGTGCTTCATATTTTAAGATTAGGTTCAGCTACTCTATTATACTGTACTGAATCATTACTAGAGAACCTGCATGTAACATCTTCAATGTTATACACTCTGCTAGGCTCTCTCATTGTTGGTACTCTCACATCCATGAAATTATCATCTTCATCGAACATTAAAAAACTCTTAGCGTACTCTGAGTCGAGGTTACACTGTGAGATTTTATCAAAGCTGGAAATTGACTGTTCAGACTCCGTAAGGACCGGGATCATCGGCATAGAGGAAGTTAAGTCAGGGCTGTGCGCGTAAGCGAGGTTCAATTGATTCTCGTTGCAAATGAACTCTGTGAGGGATTCTATGCTGGAAGAGAAATAGATAGGTAGTAACATCATAAACATCTGATATCCCTTCTAGAATTATCCGAAATGAGATCTGATGAGGTATATCTGTACAGAGGACAGCTTATGGTTCCGACTCCACCATAATCTTAAGATCATAGAATCTTGGTTATAGATGTTACAGGGCCCTGCTTGCTTAACTAAGAGAGACCACTACACTTTAGCATTAAATATTATTTGATAAATTACTAAGCTATCAAGGAGGCAAAGACACCATGTTGACCAACTATTGAGCACATCACAACATCTACTGCTTATTTTGGGCAAGTTAAAGGTTGTATTTTCTTGCCTGGTGGCTACATATAATTCTGGTCTTTTGCTAGGCCACAATGGTATTAAAGCGAGTATTACGGCTACAATTGAAAACTTATCAATAAAACAACATATGGAGACTCACCCATAAGGAGCACCAATCCTCTCAATTTCTGTTTGTAACCCACTTTCTAACGCAGCAGTGTCCCAGCTCTCGACCAGATCATTTGTCGGTGGAGGGTTTGGCACTTTAATTTAAAAAAAAACATCACACTGTAAACCTCTATTCACTAACAATGCTGCTATAATTACATAAAAATTTAAAAATCTAGAGAACTAAACACTGTCAACAGTGTTCAAAAGGGGAATGCCCAAACAACTAAGGAAAATAGTATCGGTATAAATATTACTGTGACAAGATGAAAACTATTGTCTAAGATTCGTATGAGTATGTAGTTTAAGAAAATATAAATAACATATGCGTAATTTGCCGGGTTTCAGAGAAATAGAGGGGGGATTTACATAGTCCCCCGTTGTAAGTTAAAATATGAAACTTATTATTTAGCATGCAATTCATAGGAAGATTAAGATCTAATTAGAATACAAAAGATGTGCACTATACAATTAAAATACTAAGTTACTAAAAGTAACAAGTATCTACTCCATTAGGAGTGAATTAAATACCTACCTAATATTTTGCTATGTTAACTGTAGAGGGGAAACCTACAGACTACAGTTGCATATAATTAGGCACAATTAAATAACTACTCAAGTTGATCAAAACAGAAGCTTTATTTAGAAAAAGAATAAGGAACACAAAAAAAAGAACAGACATGGCCAGCACGATCGGAGTGATACCACTGCCTCACAGAAAACTAAATGTTTGTCGTTGCTCCTTACCAAGTGAGTGAGGTAACCGGAGCCCAAACCCCCTGATCCTGTGTGGAAAGATCAACTATTCAAAGAGGCTGCCCTTTGAATAGTCGATGCCTCCCTACTATGCAAATATTCTCTGTACACAGGTTTGTCCTCAAGGGCAGTGCGAAACTTGTTAACAAGAGCACAACCTATTCTGAAATTCTCCATAAGATGTTTTGCAGCTCTATTAAAAAAAACCTGTCTAAATAATTTGAAATCCTGTTTCAATCTGCCGTTTACTACCTCAACCACCCATCTACGCATTGTGACACAACGTGATTTGTTAGCTTGCTCCGTGGTAAGCTGACGGTGGCCTTCTAATAAGGATTCAGGTAGATGAGTTTGATAACCATACTCTTGTAATTGAGCCACCACATCTCTAAAGCCTCTGTCAAGAATAAAGACGTCTCCTTCTCGAAAATATTGTCGCATAGGCCCATAAGACCTGGTAAATTCTGTGCTCATAATTGTAGCATCATTGGTCTAAAATATGACCATTACAGCACACAATCATAAATGGTTTCACCAGGTTAGTATATTTATGCAAACTGTAAGTTTGCTTTTGGAATAAATAATTGCTACTACTCTGCACATAAACATATGTAGCATCACATTTGGTGATTGCTGGTTTGGTTTCGACAGGCATTGTTGGGTTTCCATAAAAACCTTCAGGAATCACCATACTGGTTCTTGAACAGTCATGTGACTGAGACCCAAATAGTGAGGAACTAAATGTAATGTCGTAACATCTCGCACTTTATTCATCTGACGTTCAAGTGTACTTCGTGGCATATTAAAAAGACCACACAACCTCTCATAACTGTCTCCACTTCTTAATTTGGTTAAATAAATGCACAATGCTACACTAGCATCTGGCACTTTGTCATGTAATTGTGGTATATTGTTCAGTAATTCATAAAATTGAATAGCATTCAGACCAATCCAGTAATAACATAAGTTAGGTTGAATCATGTGGACATTACTAAAATTAATTTGCTTTGTTGACAGTCTTTCCAACATAGCCAGTAGGTTATCCATTTGAGCACCAGTGAAATCAGAATAATTTACTTGTAATTCATCCCAGCAATCATTTTGTAAATGAAAGTTAGCGATCCGAGCACTTTGAGGAATTTAAATTCGATAGCGACTTAAGAGTTCATTCAATGCTCTAGGTATTAACAAACGTTCTATATTGCCACAGTTAGAAAAAACACAATGCCTTGTTGAAACGGCTACACGTTTATAGGTCTGTGATATTATTTTTGGCCCTTGTTGCCTTCTTTGAGGCTGGTATAGGTTGTGCTGAGGTAATGGTGGTGGATTAGGAATATGTACAGCATTATCTTCCTCATCAGGCACAGGTACATCATTATTATGTACAGGTACTTCCACATCAGGTACAACAACTTCCATAGTAAGTACAGGTCCATCAGCATTTGGTGCAAGAAATTCAGCACTGGGTACAGGTACTTGAGAGTTCTCAACTACAGGCTCATCTTCAGCATGCATTATATGATTAGCAACATGTTGCAATTGCCGTTGTATGGTTCTTTTCGCTGCCATCCAACATGCTCCGCATACTCTATCCAAACACCGCATCTGGACAAGAAAGATTAATAGTTAGAGATGGTTTTAAGTTACAGTTATGATTATTCTCCTATGAAATATATAATAAAAATTGAACATCTATTATTGAGTAATTTAATTTTTATTTATTTGAAACAAAATGATATACATTAAGCTTTGATTCTACAATTAAATCAAAGATTATAATGTATTTTATTGCAGAGGGTAGGTGTCCTTATGCTTACAAGAGGTATTTGTCATGAACAACAGATGGGATGCAAACAAAACTAGTTACATAAACTGTTAATCATTTGATTTGTTTACATACCAGGTGTGGAGATATCCGATTAAGAATAATATTCCTTTCTTCAACTTCAATGATTGCCAACTTCCATGCTGCAGTCGAAGGGAACAGTTAATGCACCGACGAACGGAACACGAACTTTCCGTTATGGTTTTAATGGAGTCTCTATCTCACTTTCACAAGCAGTTTTTACAAAGAGTTTCTGCCTTACAGTTAGTACAAAAAATATAGTCTTTTTCTCAAAATACGTGTAGTTACTACAATGAATCACAATAACACACACGGAAAAATTACAAATTCAAACAACGCTGAACTGTTTGACAACAAACAATAATCATACAGCTACAGTGTTGCCATAATTATAAAAACTATATTGATTGAGATCAAAAATCGAAATCGACCACATACGAGTTTGAATTCGCAAGTGCAATGAGTTAAAAGAAATATGATTTCTTTGATTATTAAATCTGAAAAATAAAGACAAGTATCGATTCCCAATAAACATAATGCCAATTGCTTCCTCAGTTTATGATATTACGGTTTCATACACCTAGTTTAAAAGCTAATATTTAATTTGTAGTTTCGAATCAATGACAAAAAAAGTTTATTTTCATAAATTATATTCTTTTAATTAGCATTAAAGTATTATCATGCTATTATTAAATAATTACGATTGATTCATGTTTAAACAACTGGTTATTTTATTTAAAAATATCGATTTAATGTAATTATTTGTGAAATGATGTTACCACTACAAAAAATCCCTAACGAAAAATTGAACGACTGATAAATAATAATTAATACATAAATAAAACAACTAATATTTCATGTTCATTTATCCGGCAAATGTGAGACGCCACATTAGGTTATAAAATCATCATAAATATAAACAAAAATTATCACTATCACGAACTTGTGTCACAGTTTAAATAATAATCATCAAGCGATACCACATATGGGCATTCCCCTTTATTATTTATACATTTTATTAATATAGGCACTAAGTACTTAATTAAGTTTACTTGGTACAGTCAGCAACAGAAATGTATGTAGTATTAGTAGAAAAGATTTTATTACTAGTATTGAATGTTGTTTAATTAATAATGTTTTCTATGTATAATATGTACGTATTAACAAATTTAAAAAAAGAATATAAGGATTCTATCAGACTATCTAGCTTTCCTATACAAGCTCTGCTAAGTTTGAAACTATAGTCCATCAACATCGTGCGCGATCGTCCTTCGGGGTGACAGACGGTGGCGGGGACGAGGTACGAAAGATGTCAGCGGATAGCGGGTGGTGTAGCGGGGAAGGGAAACGCTTCTCTTCGTGTGTAGCCGTGTGCTAGAATGACGCGCTACCTCGTCCCCGCCACTGTCTGTCACCCCGCGGGACGGTCGCGCACGAGACTGCCGGTTTATAGTGTCAGATGTCCGAAATATAAAAAATGTTTGTGACTTACATTTCACTTAATCTGCACATTGCAATGTAAATGTAATTTCAGCGAGCACTTTCGATAATCTCATACGATTTTAAATACAATTACAAATACAAACAAACGTATTTTCAACAACCTTATAAGTAGTGCAAAATCTCATTTATTCAGATTCAAGAACATAAACAACAATTTCACTCACTTGGGACTAAAGCCAAACTATTGAAGTTCAAGTCTTGTTGTTTATGGTATTGCTTGTTAACAAACAAAGCCAGTTGGCTGCAGCAGCCATAATGCAGTGTGCCAGGAGGGCCAGGGCCTATTCCCTGACATGTCACGGAGTAGTTAGGATACCGCAATATAATGTTACTGCACCTGAACAAATAAAAAGAATTTAAGAAATTATACCAATATATTACCACAATTTACAATACCATAAATTGGTTCTTAGTGATTAAATGGTTTGTTTTATTTAATATGCATATAATATTGAGCAATGGCATCTTTTTGTCAATATGTTAATAATAAATCAATAATGCACACAATAAAAGTGAAGCAAATTGAGATTTATTTGAGTTGATACATACTTTTTTAATGTGCTGCATAAATTTAATAATAAATATGATTTAAGATAGTCTGGAACAGACATACGTCCATTCAGGAAGAAAAGGATGTGTTTACTATGCAGAGCCTCAGTTCTGCCATTTTATGTTAACGTACAAGCAACTTTCATTGACACTCTATTGAGATGCCATTGATATCGGTCAAAATATCAGTATTCTACTAACATGAATTTACAGTGTCAATAGACTGTTGATGTAGTGACAATGGCATCAATGGCGATATTATTAACATCAGTATCAGGATCAGTGCCAGGGACAGGGACAGGAAGCCATTGGTCTTACATAGTTGGTAGAATACAAAAAGTTTAAAACTATTCAGACAACGGTCCAATCTATGGATACAATATTAAATTGCAGAAATGCGGCCCAAGACAGTTGTTGTCATGTTGTATTGAAAGATTTCCAAAGATATATTTTCTTCAAACTGATACTACAGTAACCATTACTAAATCATAACATTCAGACCAAGTAATAATAATACTTTCCCATTTGTCCCCAGCCCAACCGCACACTGTTGTTTCAAAATTAGATTAGAAAAACTTACCACTCATTAAACTGTTCCCTACTCCATTCAAAGAAATGATCCCATCTTCTGTATCCATTTTTCTCCAGTGATTTGAACAGGACATTGAAATCACCATTTGGCGTAGTAAACACAACAATCCAGGGTTTGATAAAGCCAAACACATTGTGTACTAATCTGTCTAGATCATGAGGAAGCATGTGCTCAATCATTTCTATGGCAATCACAGCATCACAGCCAATTAACCTATAGTCTGGATCAGCTGCATTACCTTGGAACAGCTATAGAGATAAATGGAATGGTTTAGATAATAAATCTGAGATGCATTAACCACAGAATGAGAAGAATCTGGTGTGTAAAACAGTTGAGCATATCTTCATTCAGGTATCTACTACATTCTTTTGGATAAGGAATGAGTTTACAATTAATTTAATAATACCAATTTTTAAATAACTTTTAAAAAAGGCTTATCATTATTTTTATTATGTAATTATCATAGTAAAGTGCTGCCTTAGTGGTGTAGCACGGTACACAACTACACTCCCTGAAGCCAAGGGTGCGATTCCCATATGAAACAAAATTTTATAGGGGTTTCTGAGAGGAAAAATAGCCTAAGTTACTCCTTATACAGACAACTACCCGATAATAAAATATTATCAAAATTGGCCCATGCATTTTGAAGATTACCCAGAACAAACAGACAGATAAAAATATTTAAACGGGTTTTAGGCATAGGTATCGTTCAAATAACCTCTCATTTTACATTACAAAACAGTGTTTTAAATTAATTTATTTATATAGAATGATGTCTTACAGTAACTTGTAGAGGGCTCTCCCGCCTTGGTGTATACTCATCACTAGTAAACAAATCAGAGGAACACCTAAGAGGCATACTTTCAATGTCTACACCCAGGATCCGCTGGATACCAGGGACCTCCTTCAGATACTTGATAAAGCTCATATCATGATAGCCAAAATCCACAACCTAGAAAATAATTTTTTGTTTACCAAATTATCATTAAACACTATCTAATTAGAATTACTGCAATGCAAGTTTTATTTGCATGTTAAAGATTGGTTAGGTTTACATATTAAACTTGTTCACATATTGCTAAACAGAACCTAATTAGAATAGGAAAGGGAATATTTAAATTTTGTTTTTTTCTCAAGTGATATGTTTTACACTGGCTGATTTTAGGCCTGCTACTGTAACAAAAGTAAGAATACTATATTAATTACTTTAATTATTTTTTTCCAATAATAGTAGTTAACATTAACAAAAAAAAACGAAGAAAACTAGGAAGAGATCTGTGATATGAGTTCATAGTTAATACTTTAAAAAATACCAATAATAGTCTGCAAACAAATCTGTTTTATTTTATTTTCCACCCTATCTTGAACTTATTTCAAAATTAGTCGACTTTTGTTTAAACGACTAAAATGAACTTTTAGAAGGTAGGTACTCACCTTCTCTAACTTGCCGCGCCATCGTTCATCCATGAGGCAGTCGCTAACAGCGGCATACCGCTGCGAGTACATCGGAGGAAAAAATACGACCCCTTTCTCGTCATCGAACTCCGAAAACACTTGCTCATCTGGTTCTTCATCTTCCGAATCCTCGACATTCTTGATAAACGGTATAGAAATCCGCTTATAGTAAGGCCGAAGTACGCGATCGAGCACAGTAAAAAAGGATTCGCGGAAATAAATCAAAGTCTGCAAAGCAATGATCATGATTGACGGTAGGGACTGGAGATTTCAAAATATTATAAATAACTACCTCCTAACTTAGGCGGCCGACAAAACCATGATGTTCACATGTTTATTTTCTTCTTCGTTTTATTTTGACAACTGACATCCTTTGACACTTTACGTTCCTGTTTTGGGGTGTCCAATTTTTACTGAGTTTTAATAAACATCATTAACAACCAGTAAAACTAGTAAAAATAAACATTTGACATTGTGTTAAGATTCTAAAAAGGCATTAATATATTTAAATATATACTAGGTCTTTACCTATGAAATTGCCGTTTTGTATGCAATAAGTGAAAGTACTTATTTTGTCAAACTTTTTTATTTTATAAGTGTATTGCATCCAAAACGGCAATTTCATAGGTAAAGACCTAATATATATATATTATTTCTTTTTACTACATTCACACAACGCCATATAATCCCAATTCAGCAATAAGAATATGCTGCTTGCCACAAAAAAACTGGTTAAATAAGTTTGTTTCAGATAAGATTATTAATTTATTTAAGAGTTTCCATGTATGGAAATATAAGTCTTGAATAAATCGTTAAACGTTTCAATTCTGACTGGACCGATCTGATATTTCAATGCAGATAATAATAAACAGTTAGTTAAACAAACAAATAAAACAAAAATGAAGAGCGATTGGCTAAAGGATTTTTTTAGGCTTCTGTAAGTAATATGGGGTAGGGGGACATGATTGCCCCCCCCCCCCGAAGCATAATAAAAAAAAATAATAAAAAATAACAGCTAATAAAAAAATCCGAAACTTAAAAAACAACTTTGTGATAGTTCTTTCTAGAAGCAGTGCGACGGCAGATATATCATGTTCTATGCCAAGGCGTTGACTTGAGAACAAACATAGAAGTAAGGTTGACATGTGAAAGAGATAACTCCTTGTAATATTTAATAATATTTATGACTTCCATTTGTTTTATAGTCTATTTAACAAAGTTATAGTAGTGTAGTTATATAGTAGATAACAAACAAAATTACGGTTGTGCTAATAGATTATTAGGTTGATCTTTGTATTGATTACGAACCCAGACGAAAACAAACATGTCTTAACTTATCTAGATGGACTTTAAGCCGTCAACAATTTAACATTGACATAAATAATCTTTTTTTATCGTGTGGAAGCCTCTTACTTGTAATCACTTCACAGGTGCTCACAGTAAAGTAGTATGTCGGTATCGGACCGACTAAAACTGGTGTTGGTTCACTTAAAGAGTTACTGCAAGGGATTCGGGACATACATACATAAATACTTTGCCTAGTCTTTTATTTTTATGAAACAGTTAATTTATCACTCAAGTAGTAATACATTAATATGCTGCTGATTTAAATTAAAACATAAATTACTTGATTTTATTTAAAATAAAGTTTTATATAGCCATTGGATGGTCCGTGTGGTGACGGATTAAGAATACAGAGTGTCACCACCCCTATTCATCCCGTGGGTGTCGTAAGAGCCGACTAAAGGAGAAAACTATGCAGAACAAAAGCACTGCAGAGAGAAGGAAAACTTAACACGAACCCTATACCAACCCGTCTGGCCAGCGTGGTATTTTAGGCCAAAACCTCCTTTCTCCTTTTCTGTTCTTTCTTTTTTTCTATCCAGCAGTGGATTGTTAAAGGCTGTTGATGATGATGATAGTCATATATATTTTCCCAGTCAGTTCTGTTGCATTTTCCATTGTTTGTTGTTTGTTTTTTTCTTCGTGGATAATTAATTGTACTTGGATGATCGTGCTTTACTAGGAATTTTTTTGGTGAATTGAATTAACAATGAAACCTAGCTAGTTCAATTAATCGCATCCGAAACTCGTTGGAGCCGTTTCCAAGATTCAAATTATATAAATATGTAATTACATTTATAGAAAAATTGTTCGTTTAAAGGTGTTGGATGCATAGAGAGTAAAGTAATAAGCATCAGAAAAAGCAACAAATCTGGCAATTTCGCCGTATTTTCTAATCCCGTGCCCAGATTATTGCACAGTGAAAGTGTTATTGATCTTAGGACCTTAAGTCTCATAAAAATACGATATATTTGTGATATTCACTACATACTTACGAGACACCACTAATTGAGTTTGAAAGATGTACCAATATTCCGCTCATCACTACTTCAACTGTCACTGTCACTACATACTCATAAGCTACTTGCTGTATGTTTTTGTACTTGTTGTAATAAAAATATTATGCCCATAGAATTAAAACGATTTTGAATTTGACTACTTAATAAGTATGTGACCAAATAACTGGCGACTGTTTGGCTACATTTCACTATGTTAATATAACCTTACTGAATCATGATATTTAATAATACAATACCTACTACAATCCCGTTAAAATCACTGTATGCCTGTTAATTCGGTATTTTGTTAAACATAGTTTATGTTTGCTTAAAAATATGCTTACGGAATAAAATAAGAAATTCGGTCTATTATTTTATAATGGGTTTTGATAAACATTTCCATGAAGACCATTGTTATATGGATGATTCTATGAATAATGTTGGCATGAATGTGGAAATAATAGAAGATGCATCGCAGCCCTCTGTTTCGGCTCCCGCGCCGAACCGGAATATTAACGGAACAGTTAACGAGTATGTTGTAATATTAGAACCAAATATGAATTAAGTAAAGTTTAGTCAATTACTGTATTAAAATTTTTATAATTAAATTTATTGCAGATATTTAGGTGAAGCTATGAAAGTTGATGGTTTAGACAATGGTAAGTGTTATACATCATCATCAACAGGTTTTAACAGTCCACTGCTGGACATAGGCCTCTTCTTAGTTTTTTTGGCCTACTATACCACACATGTCAGATGGTTTGGAATAGGGTTTGTATTAAGTTTTCCTTCTCTTTGCAGTGCTGTTGTCCTTTGTAGTTTGCTCTCTTAGTTGGCTCTTACAACACCCACTGGATGAATAGGGGTGATGACAATCTGTATTGTTAATCCGTTACCATACGGAGTGTTATACACTGACCACAAACACCAAGTTGCAAGTCAATCTAATTATGTCTAACTAAAGACTTCTGTAACCAATAATCTATGAGTATTCTTTTATTGCTTGTGACAATTACTAAAGGTTGAAATGGTCTGTTCAAATCCCATGTTGTATTTTTTTACCAAATCACCATATTAAAAACCTACATACATTTAAGTATGTACAGAACCATATTTTTTTTGTGATGAGTGGTAGCATTACTGATACCTCAGAACTAATTGTTTGTCTGTTCAGAAAAACAAGGTCTTCAAATTCATTTCATGAACACATTAAAAATTAATGAAACATTTCTATTGTTTGTGTAGATTTGTACTTATACACAGATTGTGGTACAGAGCATTCAGCATTATTTCTACTTGAAGACGAGAAACTTGTCAAGCCCGGTGACAGGTTTGAATCACATGATATTTTTGTCCAGTACCTCAATGAGAACGCAAAGAGGTGGAATTATTACTACAGTTGCTCTGACTCACGAAAACCTAATACTGAAAATGAATCCTACATTTATAACTGTGTATATCTTAAGAACAAAGAGAAATATAAAAAGAAAGGATTGCGAAAAAGGTAATAATCTTGATTCTTACTGGAACTGTAACTTGATATCGTTTATATTATACTAAACATTTGTGAAAGTTTATTAGTTAATTAGATATATATTTTTCTAATATTTCAGGAACAATACTATGAAGACTGACTGTCCCTGTAAAATAAAATTAAGACATTTACCTAATGAAAAAGAACTGACGGTAGTTTATGTGTGCAACCATCATGATCATGAGCTATCTCCGGAACAGTTTCGTAAATTGCAACATGGAAGAAGGTTACCCCCATATGTTAAAGAAGAAGTGAGGAAATATATTTATATGTTCAGTTCATATTTATATTAGAATGAGACTGACAATCATCCACATGAGATATCTTTATTTTACTAAACTACTGTCCGTGTGGTGATAGATTAAGAATATGGGATTTCACCACTCCTAGTCATTCCATAAGAGCTGATTAAGGGAGCAAAATCAGAACAACAGCATTGCAAAGAAAAGGCAAACTTGATACAAACCTTATACCAACCTGTCTGGCCAGTCAGGTATAGTAGGCCAAAACCTCCTTTCTAAGGAGAGACCTATGTCCCGCAGTGGAGTATTAAAGTTTGTTGATTACATGTTAATGGTTATCAATTTTTTATTATTATTTTTCGTTGATTATTCTTATTATTGACATTAATTTTGTCATGCCTTAGGTTTCAACAAAATGAGCAAGTACCCTGGCCCATTTTGCAACAGCTTCATGAATGTAAACCAACAATGTTGTTATATTCTAGACGATTATACAGACATACTTACTCTCACGTCTTTAAGGATAAAGAAAAGTTTCGAGAACGAAACGCCTACATTTTGCTGACTATAATTTTAGATTATATTGCCTTACAATTAAAAATTATATTTAAGAATAAAAATATTTATTAATTAATTTTTTGGAATAACAGCAGCTGCAACTCTCAACTAGGTATTTAACTATGATTACTTGAGTAGCAAATAATAGTTATCCACAGTAGTTATACACGATAGCTAAATATGTATGGCTATATATGTTACATACTTTTAGATTAAAATCCAAAGTTATGTAATGCTGATCATGTGAATTATAATAAATTTGAGAGCAAATCCAAAATGCTATACAAACATCATACTTATCCTGCAATAAAAGAAGAACATGTCATCAATAATGTTTTTTATTATATTTTCAGATATTGGATTTCCTAGCATTACAAGTGGATAAAGGCAAAATCAGAAATTATGTGGAAATGGAAACAGGCTTCAAGATGAGCCGTCCATTTTTTTACACCTTAGAAAGGAACATGCAAAAAACCGGCAACATTACAAGAGTGATTACAGAAGAGAGATTAAAGATGTTAAATGAAAAGCTTACAGGTAAATTTGAAATTATTTAATTTAATTTTAGGAACAATTTATTGCTCCCGGCGTGGGTTGAGCAGAGGCGTGACCTCGTGGCGGCCATCTGAGACGGAATTCTCTCGCTTAGTACCATGATTGCGGCCATGGTACCGATCAAAAGCGCGTGGAACTTCGTCGTCTCCTCCTGTGAGCAAGCCATGCTTGCGTAGGAGGCGGCGAAGCGGGATCGGGAGAGATTTAGAAATCTCCAGGTCCAGGTGGAGCACGCGCTTCCTTTAGGTTGTAGAATGGGAACACTGGTTCCTACCCACGAGGGGGTCACCTACAAAGGGCCGGGTGATGATGGCGTGCGGTTTTTAGTCGGTGGATGGTTATGTCGGACTCGAACCGACTAAAAACCAAAGGGATTTCCGCACAGAAAAAAACATGAAAGGAACAGTTTGTTGCTAATTAATAATTGCTGTTGTTCTAATGCTTGTAAATGAAACTAGATACATAACTTTAGAGTTCTCCAATCCTTTGATCCTTTTCCTTTCTTGACAACAAAAATGGTTAACGGCGCTCATATCCCACGAAGAATATGAATTATTATAGTACTAATGTTTTACAGAAACACATTTTTTACCCACTTTTGGTCGGTTTATAGAAACGTGAAACTATGACTGTTTAAGTTTTTCTCTTAGTGAGCAGAAGACCAATTCGCGTAATAAAAGTTCGGTCACAATTCAGTTTCGATCAACTCTCGACCGCACAACTGCCGTAAAACGTTTTATTGTGGTTAGTATTAAAAACATCCAACGTTGACAGTAATGCGGTTATATCGTATTGTAACCGAAGATTTATTTGGTAATCTGCTAGTCTTAGTAATACTTTACTATTTTACTACGAAAATAGCTTTTGCGAGATCAAGAGTTTATCGGAACTGAATTTTTATTGAACTTTTTGATTTTATTTTTGAATGTATTGTTTGTAAAAATAATTTTCATTTATTTTATAGTTGTGGATGAAATGTACAGATACAATAATGAAGAACAAAACGAGCAACGTACGTAATGTTTTTTTTGTTTATGATATTTTTTGTTTTGATTATACAAACTTTAAAAAATATGCACCATTAATACAGATGCTAAAGAATTAGCTTCAATTTGTAAGATTAACACAATAGCAGCAGTAAAAAATATAAAACACAGTAAGAAATATTAATAAATAGAATTAAGTATTGTGATGTAAATAATTGTTGATGATTTAAAAAAAAACGCATTTTTAGTTGTTACAGGGACTCGTAGCTAAGTGTTAACCGAGTAGGTTAATACATTGCAAAGTTAAGCTAGCCAGGTCAGTCTATGGATGGGTGACCATTGTTAACACATTGAGACCCCTCCGGGCCTCGGAGAGCACGTTAAGCCGTCGGTCCATGTTGTCATACGAACATATTTGGCAATCGTTATGGGTAGTTAGAGCTCTTAAAGTCCGACAACAGTCTTTCTACAAAACTTCGATATCGCCTAGTACTTGGGTTGTGGAGGTTCAGACCTCCACAACCCAAGTACTAGGCAGTCGTGTCGTAACAAATCGAAGTTCAGCCGTATCGCAGTAGACTTAAAGCCGACCTCAATCTAGTTTGGGAAAAAGGTTCGGAAGAAGAAGTTACAAGGAAGAACAAGCAGTTTTAGAAGTACGTACATAAAAAAAAAACTTTTATAAAATTTTTATGTGTTGCAGAAACAAAGGTATCAGAAGAAGTGTCATCTACGAGTTCAAATTACGATCCACATTCCGAAGTTACGTTTAGTTAGGCAATGCAAGCTGTAAGGAGTTTACAAAAATTAGCTAAATGCGAAATACAAAAAAACCCGTGGGTGCCTGACCAATGTGTTCCTATTTTACCAAATCGGTAAGTAAGCATCCATCTATCGATTTTGGACTAATTTCATTATTCAATATTCATTAAATAATATTTACATTCCATTACCTCTACTTTCGAACCTCATTATACTTTTAGAACAGATAAAAAATTTCAAGAATCCCAGTCTGAAATGCAAGGTCAAGAATCTGAAACTATTCATTTGAATATAGAATATGGTGAACCTGGCGACAATATCCAAGTAATAAATAGATTTAACAATGGCAATGAAGTTGACGATCACAATGATATTGACAACATAGCTTACGAAACAGTGGTGACCGAGGATGGTAATCATGAACTTAGTGATCAAACTCAAGATTATGTTAGTATTGATAGTGAAATCATTGATGACGATGAGATTGCAATGGATAATAGTCATTTACGCGAACATGTTGTAGGTCATCTTGAATCACGTAATGACCAAGATACAATTGAAGTTCAGTATACGATAGAACAAAATGAAAATTTAATAGATTACACTGATAGTGAAGAAACTCAACATGATGTAGGCGTGCAAACTAATTTGAACATTGACACAGGACAGACTGTTTTACCTGTCTTTGATGTTTATATGAAGGATGGCAATGTAATGGGCTTCGTTGTTAATGATAATGCGATAAATGGCTTGAAAGATCGTGTAGATAAAGGCATTCAAACTAGCGAAGATATAATTTATAGGTAAGTATCCATTTTGTATAGCATTGAGCTTAGGTTTAAAATATCAGCAGGAGTATAACATATACAAAAACGATTGTTAAAGTTTTTGACGAATGACGAAGATAACGAATGTTCAATTTCACGATTATCAATCCTTCGAAGCCAGCGTCCTAAATTGCGGGTTATATCCACTCAATTCCCATTATGTATATTTGTTTTTGGTTAAAAAAAGCAATGTAGGTATCCATATCTTTTTTAGAACCATAATGTAAACTAAGAGTTTTTTCTATTGGGATTCAAGTACAATCCTAATACTATTGCAATCACTATTACATCGAGTACAAAAGTAATAAAAAAGAAAATATCAGATTTTTTAATATTCTACTACTTTTGCAATCACTATTATATTGATCTGTAAACTTAATACGTTCCCTTGTGTGTGGACAGTTTGTGCGATTAATAATAAAGACTGCTTTTATTCGGAGTATTACAAAAAGCTAATGAAGTAATTATTTCAGTGATACGCAAGAAATAGAAAATGAAGACTGTGAAATACTAGATAACTCAAATGAACAAACTGGAGATACATATACGAAACACGAATATGTTCACAGGTATAACATAGAACAATATATGACACAACCACACTTTCCTAAATATGTTGAAATTTTAGCCAAAGAAACCCACATGGACGTTCTCAATATGTTTACGAATATATACAACGAAAAAGCCATGTTTAAAATAACAACAACACAAAAGGGGAATGAGGGCAATACTAGAATACGATATATAACACATAATGGCAAAATTAAGAAGAAGAAGGCAGATGACGCTAAAAGGGAGAAGTTTGGTAAAAATCTTCAAAGCATTTTTATTTTAAAGGAAAAAATGAGAATGTTGAAGAAGAAAAATGAGGAGCTTATGAATAGGAATGAGTACCTACAAGATGTTGCCCTTAAGCTTGTAAATAGGGGTTAGTAAGTTGATTATAATTAATAGAGACGAAATGAAAAATTACAACAAGAGGTCGCTGGACTTATAATATAGCACAAATATTCGTAATGGTTATATGAATTTTGAATAACACATTCCGTAAGTTATATATCGTCAGTGGAGTTCTAACACTGTAGTTCATAAATGTCTAGTTTACGCGACTGACTAATGCTTCTGCTCAAATGCGCCATTTCGAACGTAGTGATATATATATATATATATATATATACCACAGCTTCAGAGAAAACCGGTCAAAGCCGTCAACGCACTTGTAGATAACTCTTAAGTTGCACTTCTATGGGCGGTAGTCTTTTACAATCACGTGACCCGTGACTCTATACCTTAAAAATGGTACACTAAAACTTTATGCCAGTTCTTCACGTAAAGATGTAACAAATGTTTGTAACAATTCTTAGCAAAATCTTAGCTATTTTATCTGTCTCATGTGAATGTGTGAATGAATCTCATAGATCATAATCATGTAGGTTTACTTACGCAGTTTCAGTTTTAGTAAATAAGCGGGACTATCAGTTAGCTATCTTCTTCCTGAGAGGTCGAAAGTAAGCGTACAATCTTTCTTCAACGAATGAGATCAACACATTGAAAAGACAATAAAATAAGTTACGCATTGTTACAATTCACTGACGGTATGCCCAAATAGAACTAGCGAATGACATTATTGTCCCTGCGCTTAATCCTCACTCAACTTTTGTCTACGTAGAATACTCGATATTGCATAATGACGCTGTCTTTTTATTACAATGAGTACAAGAGTAATGAGAAAGAAGGAAATAATAGGGGTTAAAGTATGAAATTGCCGTTGTATAGTAATAAATACTTTTAATTGACATGAAATCTTCATGGTGTGAGATTTTCGTGTTCACACGATACTATCTTTGGGGTTCTTTTTTAAAAAAAATGCAACATGGGATTTTCAATTGTTTTTTTTTATTCAGCTTAGACGTGAAAGATGAATACTTCGAAAATCATTCATTTTTTAATACGAGTTCGCGTAACTAACGCGTCAGAAACGGCTCGCAATATGAACGGTGCGTTTGGAGAGGAGACTGCTAATGAACGCACGGTGCATTTTTGGTTTAAGCGCTTTCGTAACAGAAACTGCGACTTGAAGAACGAACCATGTGGAAGAGTGCCCACACAGGTGAATAACGCTGAATTGAAGAAGATGTTGAAAGCCGATCCGAGTCAAACTATCCAGGAATCAGCGGCATAGTTTAACGTTACCCTACCTACAATATTGATTCATTTGCATCAAATCAATAAGTTAAAAATATAAAAATGGGTGCCTCATGATTTAACTGATCTGCCGAAAGAAATGCGTATTGTAACTTGCTTTGCCTTATTGAATCGGTACAAAAATGTAGGAATATTGGATCGAATTTTGACATGTGACGAAAAGTGGATTGTTTACGATAAGCGAATAACCGTTAGCGAAAAATGTAATGGTTGACCCCAGGTCAAACGCCGGTACAATGCCCTAAAGCAAAGCTTACCAATAAGAAGGTAATGGTAACTGTTTGGTGGTCTCTTCATGGTATTATTCACTATAGCTTTCTCAGGTTTGGTCTGGCAATAACAGCAGATGTTTTCTTGTGCCGAACTTCGAATAATGATGGCGAAACTGGCAGATAAACAGCCCCGACTCGTGAATCGATCTTCACCATTATTCTGTGATAACGCAAGGCCTCACACTGCACGAGAAACCGTTATAACTCTACAGGAGCTGCAGTTAGAAAACATGCGTACCTCCGTACCAGACCTGACTTGAGACCTTGGTCCAACGGACTACCATTTTTTTCGTGATTCGGACAACTTTCTAAGTGAAAAAAAAATATATATATATATATTGCCAGGACGCAGTCTAAAATGCTTTCACACAGTTTGTCGAATCTAGATACCCAGAGTTCTATCGTAAAGGCATAAATGAACTTCCGTTTAGATGGCAGCAATGTATAGATAATGAGGATAAATATTATGATTAAAGAAATATGTTGCACCTTAGAAAAAACGAGTTTTAATTTTTCAGTACAAAACGGCAATTTCATACTTTAACCCCTAATATTTGTTATCTGTGTATTATGTGTGAATATAAAATTTGATATTTGATGTTAATTAAAAATGAGGTGAAATTTTTATTTGTAGTTTCTGTAACTAAAGTATAAATTAACAATTATAGGTTTCGGGTTTTGGAGTTGTCTTTTTTACAAGAATTTAATCTATATTGTATATTGTCTAAAGCCTTGACAAATGTATATTGCAGAAGTATAAAACTACACACATAGTGACAAAAAGACAAGGGAGAACAATGGCAGGGGAGGGGGACGTCCAGGATTTTACTCCTTCAGCGGTAAAAAAAGTATTAATACCTATCAAACAAAAGGACGCAAGAAAGTTGATAACTTTACACCTATACTTAGCAGCGGTTACCAAGTAGTAGAACATCTCTTTTTTTACAATTTTTCAATGTTTATTTATACGGCTAAAGATTCAATCAAAAGTTCTAAGGTAGATTTTACCAGGTTCTTTAGCCAAGAATACCCATATAGTTGGTGTTGCCGAAACCTTGTGTCTTAATAGACATAATGCTGTGTTTGAAATACAGAGAACATAAGCAAAACGGTTTTTACTTATATTCTTCCTCTACGCACGAAATAGTCTAGTAAATGTCAAGATGAATATGATTCTGTATACGAAAGATGTAATGTTACCTAATACAGTTGTAATATTATAAGCTTTCAAATTATAAATGATATTCATCATCCATCAATTATCATCAATAAATAGTCTTTTATTAAATTTCTACTCCCTATTTTCGAACTTATCACCTATGACTTAATACTGTTTTTAGTGGTATTTGATTTTTTTTTCATGAAGGATAAATGTTTTATGCCTTTGTGTTGACATTATTAAATCACATCACATCACACATCAACAGCCTATACTAGTCCACTGCTGGACATAGGCCTCTCCTTAGAAAGGAGGTTTTTATTTTATTATTAAATAAAGTTTCAATATTCAGTTGTTCCAAATATACTTTAAAACGCTTACTTTAAGTATGTATAGTACATGTATTCCGTGATGTCTTCTACATTAAAAGGTGCGTTAAATCTGCTCACGCCGTGTCACGGCCCGCTCGCGGACTGCCCGTGCCTTCATGTAGTGCATGCTCACTTAATGTGTACATAGGAAAGTAAAAAATACAGAGACTACTCGCGAGATCTTTCGCGATTAGTCGAAGGGCATACGTCAGCGTTGAGCATCTGTTTATAAATACGAGTAAACACACGTCATAAACTCTTTGATAATATAGGAAAAAAATCTTGGACTATATAACTATTTAATACTTCCAGGCTATATATATTATACTTTATATATACTTTATTTATAATTTTATTAACTGTATAATCGCGGTGATTTTTAGGTCTGGCAAATCCCCACTTGACACTTGTAGATTTGTCCTAAAATTCACTCTAAATCGGTTGTTCTACCTTTTTAATACCCTCAAAACTATTTCTACTTTATTTTCATATTAAAGCACTGTACGATGCGAAAGATAAAATCTTAAAGCCAGAGTGGCATTCTCGTTTTTATCGTCATTTAAATTCCTACTCATCTGTGACCTCTCGCTAGAGAGTAAATTTTTTGTTTCTGACCTTTATGATAATGTCGGTGGTCATGTTGCATGGTTACGTAATGTTACCTTTAAAATCATCTCTGGTCTGTGCATGTTAATTGTATACACGTTTAGATTAAGTGAACATTTTCTTTAGTGCGTTAACTGTGGTTCAATTACGATATGTGTATACACTGTAATGCGTTAATACCTCTCTAAATTAATACTTAGGCTTTTATAAACACAAGTAGGTAAATGTTTTATGAAATTGAGACGGTGCTAAACATTTATTCTGTTAAAGATTTTACAACAGCTAAAAATGCTTAGGACTGACGTTCTTTCGTACCCAGGCTAGGTTAATATTATTGTGTAATGTCTGGTTTAGTCAATTTGAACATTGTTTCACTTTCAAAAAATACTTAATCTATGTATTGATTTATATTTTCTCAGTCAAAAGAAGAAGAAGCTGTTTGCTCACTCGCTTTATATGTTATTTTAAACATCTACAAATATTTACTAAGTAATAGATGCATGTATGTTACGAAATTTAAAAATTCTTATTTCTGAATTTGCATATTATTCCCACGTTATACGGAAACAAGATTAACCTCGCTGTGCTAAGATAAGTGTCTTTTTTCATGCCCATTATTTTGTCCATTGTAACCACCAAATCGTACGAGAACGTTGACAAATAAAAGATTTACTTACACGACTATTTCTGGGTAACCTTTGTGGAAATGCATAGGTAGGCATATCGAATAAATTCGTTGCATAATGTGTACGCAGCTCTGACTCAGAATTCCTAAGATGGATAGATACGACGCGCAGCCTACGCTCGAGACAAATTCTTACGCTTCAGTCTAAGCATACAATTAATTTCGATTGCATGTCTTATGATAGTCGAAGGTGAAAGTGTACTATTGTCTGTCACTCTTATTGTACACGCCTCTGTGATCTATCTGTCGTCATGATACCGGTTTTGTTTATGTGAATAAGTTGTTCTGATGAAATTATTAATCTGGATTTGTTGTTAGTTTACGTTGAAATATTATGTGTAAAAATTGATGATGTGATTGAGTATGTCAAATTCGTTATTATGACATGTTTACCCATCTTAGGGTGTTTGTAAACAGATTGCGGCTATCGTGCGGAGCGAGAGTGCGTGGAACTCTGCCGTCTCCTTCTGCGAGCAAGTTATGCTCGCGAAGGAGACGGCAGAGCGGGACCGGGCGAGGTTTAGAACTCTCCCGGCCCGCCAGGCCCGGGACGGGCCAGGTACCGCAGGCGACTCAGGCGCCGGAGGTCGCCGAACGACCTCCGTCCTCCATAAGCGCAGGCCGGGGTGGCGGCTAGCGCGTTGCGAAGCGCGCTCGCTTCCAGGGAGCAGAGGGAACATGGGGTTCCCACACGGGGGTCGTCTACTCGTCTGTAGAGGGCTCGAGGTATGTCGGGGCACCAGGGACTTCCTTTCTAGGGTATACCTGGTTCTCCGGCTATTAGTACAAAAAAAAGGGTGTGCGTAAACAGTCAATAGGTACTTTTACTATTATGTAGGTACTTCTGCAATTCATTTGCTATTTTCTCTACGATGACTGCAGTGTACGACAATATTTTAAGTGTGGCTTAACCATGTAATTACAGATTTTTAATTTGGTAGACATTTGTTTTTTTTGCATCCTGATGGAGGACGAATAATAAATACTGATATTTTGTTTTGCCATCACTTTCTAATTGACATGAGGATGATATGCCTGATGCGTGCAATTGGACAGACCTATGTCCAGCAATGGACACGAAATTTGTTGGTCAACCAAGTATAAGACAAATACTGAATAACTTAATTGATGTCTTTTTAAATGAATTTAGGTCTGTTGAAGGTTTTCCCATTTAAATTTAAAGAAAATATGCGACCTTTAGGGGTGGAAAATTAGGGGTTGAAGAATACAGCAACAGTAAAAATATTGACCGTTGAAACGCACCTTAACGTGACAACGCAAAAATCAGGCGTGACCATTGAGCAAACGATAATTCATTGCCATTTTACCAAGTGTCAAGATTAGCGTGGAGAGAGAGAGAGAGGATTGGAGCGTGTAAATGTAGGTAAAAAGGAAAATTGGCTTTGGCTTTCAAAGTAAGGTTTAGGCGATAGAGCATTAATTAACTGTTAACTTAAGGCAGTATAACACATGTATTTACTTACGAATTAAAAAAGATAAATTAACCAGAATAGTCACTTTTACAAATTGTCTCGACGATAGGTTGGTTCGGATTAAATGATGCTCTAGATCACAGAAATCAAGGCTTGAAAGCTGATTAATTGTAAATATTTGAAAAAAGATTTTGGTAAGTATAAGCTGTAATTTGGTTCTAGTACTTATTACCTACACTAGATAAATATATAGATTGCTGGTTTATCAAATAAATCGAACAATTTAAATAAGGCATGCTTGTTTTATAGAAAGCGTTTAGAAATGATTGAACTTACGCAATAGCCTTTTGTTTTGCCATACTACGAGTATTTATACTTTTACCTCTGATTGAGTACGAAGTTATTTTTTAGAAATTTGTCACGGTTGTTACTATACGTACTTTATTAGTCTATACTTACTAAAATTGTTCATCTGAACAATTTGTTTGAATGCATTAGTTTTTTGGTATTATTCCCGTCAAAGAAGGGTGTATTAAGTTATAGCTAGTGCATTTTTAAATGAACTTTCTAACACATTAATAAGTGACATCAAAGGCATCCAACAGCCCATAATATGCTCAGGACTTATGTGCTGCGCTAGATTCAGTATGGCTGAAATAGTGATTACTTATTATAAGTTAAATCATACACGAACCTGAGTCCGACATAACCACCCCGCCGATCATGGGTCTGGGTGGTATCTCAAATTATTTTTGCACAGAAAAAAAACGTTACGCAAGAACCATGTCAAGTATAGTAGTAACACGTCACGGTGTTACAAGTCATCCTGAGATAGTAATAAAAGAAGTATCAAATATGTTGTTTACTTTTTAGCTTACCTACTAAGTATATTTTCTAGAGTTATGAGTTAACTCAAGTGCCATCGCATATTGAGCAGCGGCCAATTGAGGATTTAATTAATTGTTAAGGTAATTGTATTGTAAATTTCTCATATTTATATCTATTTAATTCATGGAGATTTCATCAGTTTTGTTATATTTCCCTGAGGAACAATAATAAGAAAACTTTTAGATTCATATCTAATATTATAAAGAAGCTGCTGTCTCTGTCTGTAAAGAAATTTTAAATCAGTAGGTATGACTTCTTTAAATCCCACTTCAATGTGAACTTCGACAGGTCTGGGGCCCTAAAGTAAAATACATTGCCTCCTCAGGTGTAGATAAATTATTACAAGTGACATGATTTTCTTAACGCAAGCCAAATTACGCACATATAACACATGCCATTCTGCAGCATAAGAAGCCTAAGTTGAGGAGGAGGAAGGAGATGAATTTAGACAAAAAAAGTTGTTTGCGTGTTTTAGTGTTAAAAAAGTGATCATGGCAGGTAGACGGTAAAATGTTTAAACGGTAAAAATCATTTTGTGTTAATATATATAATTAACTTATGGAAACTACTTGTAATCAGTATCCTGTCCTACTAGTTGTCACGGCCTTGCAGATAAGC